GAGGAGTGACTGATTTATGCCAGAACAGCTGGGTTAGTAAATGGTAAGGAGCAGTGCATTTTTTCTGTGTAAGATTCTTAATGTGCTGTTACATACTTAAAGATTTTATAGAAAGTTTTGATACAGGCTGGATGATGTTTTTCACAACAATAATAATTCTAGAGTCTCTTTACTTGTAGCCTAGCTTCGACATATATTAAGTTCACATCTCATATATTTTTCTAGTTCTGTGTGTTACAAACTTTTTAATAGGTTTTGAGGTTTTTTAAAATTCACCTGAGAGTATGAAGTAGTTGCTAACATTCAGAGGCTATAGCACGTTGTGAGTTTAGAACAGAGAGAGTTGGCATCACAATAAAAGGGAACTATGTAGCAATGGAATTATCTTTAAAGTAGTGGACAGGTGGATTTTATTTTTTTTAAAATTTTCTGATTTCAGTGATGTAGTTAAAATTAGGATTACAAAAGATACTCCTAAACCATCATGAGTTCATTGTTTACAGAACTTCACTCCATTGCACCATGGCATCAACTACCTTTTGATTCAAATTATCTTTCACTATTGTTTTTCTGAGTTGTAGGGGAGGGTGTATAGAATTGTTAAACAGGAAGGCAGGAGCTGTAAAACATCTTTAAATGGAGAGTTGTAAGCTAAACAGTAGGAAAAAAAATACTCTTCAGATACTTGAAATATCAGTCTTAATGTACGGCCTATTGAGATTTTGCCAGTTTTAGCCCAAGCAGAAGTGTTGATCAGAGTTTATATCCTGAAATATTCCATATCTCTGGTGCAAATATTACTGAAGGCCACTGTAAACAGCACAGTTTTATTTAAGAAGCTGATCCCAGGATGAAAGGTAGATGAAATCAGCTACAGACTGTATGAGGAATTAATGGTAAAGCTCTTCATAATCTTTTATGCTTTGGCTAAAAATATTAGCACCATAAAAATTCTTCAGGGGGCAGAGTTGAGGTGGTAGCTGCAGAGTGATCAAAACATAAAAGAGGCACGTTTTCTCTTTTTATGGGGAGGCCTCTTTCAGACCTGTCACATGATGGATTTGAAATGCAAGTTTAATGGACTCTGAGTTTCTCAGACAGCCATCTTTCTACAGCTTGATTATTAACAACTATTTAATCTTAGCCAGCTTTCTCTCTTTTTTCTGCGCCCTTGGTAATTCATTTATTTTATTTGTTTAGCAGCAATATAAGAATAATACCCAAATCATAAAGTTGAGGAAGTACTTCATATTAAAAAACAATGTAAAATCAGTCTCCAATAAATTTTGCAGAAGCATTTACTCCACAGTTGCTTGAATTAAAATGTTACAAGTGTAAATAGCATGTAAATAGTGTGAATGGATTTCATATTTAACGTGTATGTAATAGTTTCTGAGCCATAATGTTTCATCCCAGCACTATATGAGTAATAATGATGCCATTTTCATGGCTGGTGTTGTATAAAATATTTTTCAACTGATGTTCACAGTATAGACACTGTTTTGTCAATGTGTCAGAAAATGAGATCTGGGAAGTAAGCAGATATATGACAGGTCTTGGGAAAGTAAACATGTAGCATTAAGTAAAATAAAATTTCAAAATACATTAAAATATTTTTGCAGGGTCTGATCCAGAGCCATCAATGTTATTTACATTTTTTATTTCAGTTGCATGCCAAATGTACCAAGTTCTTGATTATGCCAGCTATTTTAGTGCTCTGTTGGGAATATACAGACCAACTTTGCTTTCCTTCAGAAGTGCAGAAAGGTGGGAAGTTCGCCGCTGTGACTCATGCCTTCTGAGTTTATGTGGGTGCAGCTCTGTCTAGCCACTGAGTGTTTTGCATAGGGAGAAGTAAAAGTCTGAAAATTCAAGGCTCTTTACAGGGACAGGTGGTCCAGGGGCAGTCCTACCTATTTCCTTGAAGTAAAGACTGTCAACAGTAAGGACTTCTTTCTTATAGGTTCAGAACTGGTGGTAGCCAACTGCTTTAATCCTTAACATTCCTACATCTTACATTTTGCCCAGAAGGATGAAGAAAAAATTATAGTGTAGAAAGAAGGGAATGCAATAATATAAAGTCTTTTAATTTATCTACTTTTATACTCATTTTGTACAGTTACTACCTTATTTTCCTTTTAATGAAAAAAAGATTCAATCTGTTAATTATTTTAAATAAAATTAAATATTTTAAAGTTAACTATAATAGTTAAATATTTTTCTTGCACAACGTGGGATACTAATGATAAGGACTAATGTATATTTTAAATTTTCAGGTTGCACACATGTCACTTGTTACCCCACTTTGAATAAGTAGGTTGCTGAGTCCTTAGCCTCTCTAGAGGTGTGACTGTGTCAGTTTAGTGCAGAGATGATTAATAAAGCCCATACAACTGCAGTTCAGATCTATTAGCAGTAATTAGATAATATATTAGTATTGCATACCTCTATTTCTGCATGTATTGTAAGGCAAACTAATGCAAGCTGACTTGAAATCACAAACATAACTGAAAATTCTAGTTGGTTGTTGCTTAAGAACTTATGAAGTTGCTCGCTTTGTGTAATGAACTGTTGCTTTTTTATTAACAAATAATAATGGTAAGGACTTAGAAGAGATGTAAGTACATGATGGTATCTAAGCACTATTTTCAAATTTTATCAAAAATGAAGTTATCTGCTATAAACAATTTCATCAATATTAAGTAAATTAAGACCAGTTAGCAGCAACCACTCCCATTAGGAAAAAGACTTTGAATCTTGCAACCTAACAGGGCCAGGACACCAAGAGTGTCACTGTTCCTTCACCCGGTGTGTTCTGTTCTGAGTTCTTCTGTTCTGGATTGCCTTTCAGCCGGGATATCAGCTCAGCCTTCTAGTAGGGTTACAGAACTTGCTCCGTGGATCAAGGTAGTGATCTGTCCAGTTCCCTGTATTTTGTAGTGACCAACAGTAAGGTGTTTCATAAGATACTGTGAGAATATGCAGTTGGCAGTATAAAATAATCTGCTCAAGTTACAGATCTTAGTCTAATAGATGTAGGATACTATTAAGTTCTAACCTTAAATATCAGGCTGTCCCTTTGGAACTATTTACTTTTATTAATTTTTTAAAAATATCTACCAGTCCAGTCCCTTCTCGAATCATCTTATAGCGTTCCCTATAGCGTTGCCGTCAACAGCTTCTTATTGTATTGAAGCTGATAGGCCTATATACACACATTGTGTGAAAAGTATTGGGTTTTAATTTACAGACATTTTTGTTGATTACTTCCCCCCCCCTTTTTTTTTTTTTTTTGAATTGAAATAACTGATTTTTGATCCGTATGTCTATATTTGTCTTATCTATATCTGTGACTATGGAATTTTTTCAATACAGAAGATTTTCGTTCAACAAGAGGGCGTACTCAAAAGAAGAGTAATTAATTTGTTGACACAGTTTTTGAAATGTGGCAATAGTATTGCACTTAAAATCACTTATATAAAAGAACAATGATATTTGCAGATTGGTTCCCTATTGCTGTCTTTTTTCATCTTAATATAATGCACCTTTACATTGACATTTTGTGAGCATTTCTCACCACACGATCACACTGATGTTCTTCACCGAGAGGCCTGCAGCAAAAGCAGAAAGACTGCTTCTGTTGATTAATTCAGTTAATTCAGATGTCTGAAATACATAAGAACAATTTAAGTTCTCTAATGTGTATTACTTTGGAATTAAGGACATAAATTTAATATCCCATCATCTAGGCCATGCATGTGGGTGCAGTATAAATAGTTGTGTGTAATCCTGAGAGCATTTTAACTGAGTATCATGGTTGTTGTGACAGGACAAAGAAAGACTCTGTGGAATAACTGGATTCTCAACCCTAAATTTTTGTAAGTTCAAAGCTCGTACCTTGAATTTGCATTAAAAAGTAAATTGTCAAGCAATATACAGCCAAGGATATGAATAGATTTTGTTGTCTGTTCTAAAGTCTGTATTTAAAAGCAAATTATTTTGTAATAAAATATAAAATATTTGAGTAGAGCCTTTAGGAAAGGGGTCATGTCTTTCCTGGGTATGTAAACAGTGTCTGATGTGGTTTCAGCCTCAAGATATTACTATGTTTTAAAATACATAACTGTAATATTGCATAACATTATGCACATGTATGTGGCAGGAGTTTCTGACCTTAAGTACTTAAAATTGTAGTCACATACACAGATAAAGGAAGTAGGAACAAGAAGAAACAGAGGCACCTATAAATCCACTGACTTACCCATGATGACAAAGGGAATGCACTGCACAACTGGATATTGAATGCATATTTCATCCTTCCCTGGCTAGTATCTGATTTGCAGAGTCACTCTTCTTTCTGCAAGAGATCCTATCAGCATTTTCAGAGAGCTTGTAATTCCAAACAGTGCTGCAGATCAGGGCTTTGCAGATGTTCTGGCAAAAAAAATCATGTTCTGAAAAGGAAATGGAAATAGTAGCCAAGTGGCTTCATGAAGAATAACTGGAATATTTGACAACCCAGGATATTCATGTGTCCCTAAATTGTTTGGTGCTTCTGTATTGTATAATCTACTGATTTTCTGTATCTGTCTCTGTGTTTTGTTCTGTCTAAATCACGAAACAGTCAATTCAATGGGGAGGAAGTGGAGGAAAACCACTTCCTCGGCACCGTGTGTGTTAAATGTATGCTGCTGGCTGGCTGAGGGTCACATGACAACCTGTGAGAAACTGATGAAAAAGGTTTCCAAGCTATCTTTGATTTTTCTTTCTTTTCTTGCAGCATAAACTTACCAAGTGTTCAGACAAAGTTTTCAAAGCTTGGCCTTCTTTTCCACAACTACTAAAAGAACTGTTCTTTTCAGCAGCCACAGAGCTTTGTCTCCTGGCTTCCGAGAACACCTAACAGTATAATGCACCTTTTAGGATTTGATTTGGCCCTCATATGTGAAGGTGATTTCCTCTGATCAAAGTCCTTGTGTTTCTGTCCCCATCCTCTACAGCGCTGCGGAGTCGATCAGGACGGTCCATCATCAATGGAAACTGGGCAATTGATCGACCTGGGAGATACGAAGGTGGCGGGACAATGTTCACTTACAAACGCCCTAATGAAATCTCCAGCACTGCAGGAGAGTCGTTTTTAGCTGATGGTCCAACAAATGAAGTCCTTGATGTCTATGTAAGTTTCTTGTATTCAGATTAACCTTAGTGATGGGAAAAAATTGTTCAGTTCATTGTTAACATGCAACACTAAAATTACATTCAGTACCCATACCTTGTTCCTTTAATTTTGAAACAGTGTTTTTGATATTTTACTATTGCTTGCTATTGTTCCCATCTTGTTCCAGATCACAGGAAATTTACAGTGAAGCCTTTTTCTCTCAGACTTTATTGATCCATTAAAACAATGTTACTTGTTCAGTAAAATAGAGAGAAAGCATACAAAAGTTTTTTGTGAACTAGATTTTCTCTAGATACTTTCTGAATCAAGCAATTTTAGTGTAGTTTAATCTGACAACATCTCTCACAGAGTGATAACATCTCCATTTTCTTGAAAAGAAACATAAGTCCAAAACCTCTAGAATGTGGAATTTGAAGCAGGGGACTTTTAATAGAAAGCTATGCTAAGAGACCATAAATAATAGGTGTTTGAGAAAGGAAAAGACAAATTCTGACTAAGGGGGGAATCATTGAAAAAACGGTTTACTTCAGATGGGACAGAGTTTTATTACATCATATTTAAGTAAAATATATAACTGGGATTTATGACAATTTACTCAAAGATAAATGGTGTGTTCTGAGATTATACACTTACACATGGTAAAATACATTCATTGGAAAAAAATAGATTAAGTGGTGATAGGGTTTCTTCATCCAGCTATGGCTTTTTTGTCCTTAAATGCAACATGGGGTGGAAAAGTGAGTGTGCTGGGTTGTTTCATAGAAAAACAAATAGTAACTACCCTGATTACTCAACTGAGAAAAGTTAGATGTTGGCAAAGTTATTCCCCATCTGCTTATATGCTGTCTTAATAAAGCAATGTAAGAATTATGCAAACAATACTTCTTTCAGGATAATTTCTGATTGGTTGCAATGTAAGACTGGCAAAAGCCTATGAGATTAAAAGATTGAGCTTCTAGATTCTGCAGTTCAGACTCCATGTTTTTTAAACATACATGTTGTTGTGTAGTTACAGGATGCTCTGAGCTGAGGTTTAGTCTTAAGTTTTTATTGACAGATGCCTAATACTTAATGATCCAGAGAGAAAAGGATCAGGAAATGGATTAAACAGGTATTTCCAAAGTAATACTATAAAAACTCCTTACGCTTAAATGTATCATATTTTAATGTTTAGTTTAGTCTTGGACTCTTCTTTTTTTGCCTTTGTTGTAAATATAAGAAAGCTGGCATGATGGGCATAGCTTTATCAGTTTTGCTCTGTGGCTGATACTACAGATTGTCACATCTAATTTGACTGGACTCTTATCTGACATGTTGCTTGTAGATATGAGGCATACTACAAATTATTATGAGCTAATAGTTTAGTGTCTTTTTCAATATAGTGTGGGAAGATAAAAATGGATAGTGATAGATGAAAGAAAATCATCAGTATGACACAGCCTCTCTTGGCTTTGAAATTTGTAGCCATGCAGATGCAGATGTCTTGGTTTAGACTTTGTCTTGCCGTTTCTGAATCATTTAATTCTCTTTTCATCCATACTCACGATCTTTATGCTCTGTGTAGAAAAATAAATAGATTTACAGATGGGAACTCCAAATGGTTTCTTCCTTCCACTTTAAAAATGTAGAGGAAAAAACTCTCTAAATTACAGCAGGTTACAATTAGCAAGATAAAAAGGTGTACAAGTTTTGTCCAAGTGTGAAGTATACATTAGTACAAAGATTTAGGACCATTAACTCAAAGCAAAACTATTGTGTAATTCCAGGTATTTTCCTGCAGGAAAGCTGTGACAGTATCTTCACAGGGACTTCATCAGTTAAGCTCTTTATAACATGTGCCTGTCAGTTGTTTTGAGAAATGTGATGGAAAAACCATGGGAACCATTGGAAAGCGGTTCCTGGAAACATCTTAAGAACAGGGTCCTGGTTCTGGAAAGTGGTGGGGCAGGGGGACGACGACATACTCTTCTGCTGAAGTCAGGCTCACAGTGCTCAGTTCTCTCAGGACCAAACACAAAGATGGTGTATTTTTTGCATACCAAAGTGACATGGGAAGGACCAACCCTTACAAAAAATATTATAGGCAATGCATGATTAGATGGTTCAGAAAAGGGAATGATCTCTGAGGGACAGAGTTTAGAAGAACAGCTATTATATTTGGCAAGGAGAAAGTGATTTTGACACCAGGAAAAACAAGGGTCTGAATCCCTAGTTGATGTTACTTGGTGTGATGAATTTAGTGAAACCTTGAAGTGTAAGTGTGCTCTGCTGGCTCATAAAGCCATTGGCATGGTATGACTGTGTTCTTTTCTGCCCACGGTTTGTTAGAATCAAAGAGCTAGTGCAGGCTCTGGTGTTTGTTTCATTTTGCTTTAGGTACTTTAAGTTAAGTGTAATCTGAGGCTTGTACCAGACCAATCCCCACAAAGAGTTCAGGACTTTTAAAGCAGCAGTGTCAGCAGAATCAAAGCTAAACTACTGAAATTAGCAGCTGATGGCATCCCTGCATTTCTAGTGTGAGTATGCTCAGGAGCAATGTAATACAAGCCGGTTGGGTATGGAGCGTGCTGCTAACCATTTTAAAAAGCTTTCATAAAGTCGTATCTTGCTCAGGTCTCATTATGCCTAAATGCAGGCACACAAGAAGTGACAGTGACTTCCAGAGGCGTGCTCACGTCAGCTTGCACCGGCTTGTGCAGCAGTGTTCTGAAGCTACTCAGCTTCATTTTCACATTTAAAGGAGAAAGACCTGTGGTTCATAACCAACACTTTGATAGAGTTGTTGTGGCTAGCTGTAAAGCAGTGGGAGTCTGTCTGCACTTACGTTGCATCTTCATTCAGTTGAAAATTAATGTGGAAGGATGCAGGAGGTTGCACGGGTGCTCTTCAGCTGCTGTAGCAAATATGTGTGCCTTTGTAATCTTTTCACTTGATCTTTATTGAGCAGTGCTTGTGGTGAGAGCGGCATAATGTTAGTAATTTTAGCTAGTTGATTGTTGAGCCTTCACTGAGTGGTGCAGAGGTAGCTGCACAGTGATGAAAGGAACACTTTGATTTGTGAGATGGTACACGCAGAATAACACGTGTACTGTCGGCATGTGCTCTGTTCAAGTACAACTGAGAAACCTTAGTAAAGGCAGTGGATTAGATTTGTAGACTGGGGTCTGTGGTATCCATTTTTCTGTTTTGTTTCTTCCTTGGTTATGTTTCCTCAGGCATCTGTCAAGCTCCTTCTACCTGGGAATGTTGTGGAGACCTTAGGACTGTCTCTTCTGGTGCTGAGCCTAGTGTGAGCCCCTGCTGCCCACGCTGGCGAGAGGCGAGGCTGTAGCTGGGGCAGTCCAGAGCTGCGCCTTGGCCCAAGCGTGTCAGTTTTACATTTTTTAAAGAAGATTTAGAGAAACAGTTTATTTGCTATCACAAGCTAGCTCAGTTTGCAAACACAGTAACTTGAATTTGTTTCTAGAAGAAATCAGAAAATACTTTTTTTTTTTTTTTCCATTTTTTTTGGAGACAGTCATTAACCATTGTTTCTCTCCTGAACAATGATAAATAATGTTCATAACTGATCTGTTCAAGTACATATTTAAGCATTAGTAATGTAACAAGTGGAAGAAGTAAATATGTGGCTCTTTTTCTTTTTAGATGATACATCAGCAGCCTAACCCAGGTATACACTATGAGTATATCATTCCAGGAGACAATGTTATCAGTCCTCAGTTGCTTGCTCACAGGAGGCCAGGTAAAATGCCACTACTTCCTATTATTAAACACATTTTGTTACCCAATAAGCTAACAGAGAAATTCATACCATTAAATTTGGTGTAAATACTACCATTGATGTGGGAAAGGTGCAGAATTTCAACCTACATGTTGGAAGAGAAGTCTGCATAGATTTGGTAACTTCAGTGAATTAATGCTGACAGGGATTATTTATACTGTAGCAGGGAATCTGGTCACATATTTCTACATTCAGTTATTTTGCTGTTAAAATGTTAACCATGGCTTTGCACGAGCTGGAGGTTGTAACCACGTCTCAGAAATGAAACAGAAAATGATTTTTCTCTTCAGACCTTGAGATAATTTAAAACAACCCTTTGCAGTTTCTCTTTCCTCTCCCAACTGGAGAGGATCAAACACGTAACTGTTGCCTTTCCAAGCTAGAATCTGGACAGCTCTTGCTCCTGACTGAGCTGTGGATATGTGCTGTGTGTACTGATACGAAGTTCTGAGGAACAGTAGAAAAATTGCAGGCGAGTTGGGTCCTACATTTAATGTTCATGACTTGCTTTGACAAATTTCTAAGTGTGTTTGCAGTCTTTTCATAATGAGGAGCAGCTGTGCAGTGACATGGGGAGACACAGAATACAGAGCATGGTACAAAAAAAAAGCTTTAGGAAATTTTGACACTGGGTACATTAACTCTACAGTGTGTTTGGAGATAATCTTAAGTTTTTTATGTATTTGCTGGCTGATACTTGGTTATCTTAGTTTAAAATAACACAATTTTTGCTGAATGCTATTAGAAGGTCTCTGCGTAGGAGATTAAAGCTGCTTTCAAGTTTAATGATGCTCCAGTTGTGATTATTAGTGGATGAAAACAGAGAATATTTGCAAGTGAGGTTCATTATTTTACTTTTTTGTTATTGTCCATCATCAGGGGAGCCCTTGAATGGCCAGTTAGGAATGCCAGAAAGTACAAATCAAGAGGATAAGGATTTGCATAGGGAGACAGACACTCTCACTGGACAGTCAACTGGAACTTTTCCAGCTATTCAGCCAGGAAGATTTTCTTCTCATCAGCCAGAAAACCAGGTACCTGCTGTGCAACCACCAAGACAAAACCGAGAACACAACTGGAAACAGACTGGAAAAACTGAGTGCACTACCACATGTGGGAAAGGTAAGTGCTTCATACACCAATGCACAGAAAATAGATGGCACATGGGAAGGTTCCAGTGTAGCAGAGGAGAAGCATGGAGGGAAAAAACACTGTGGCTGTTCAGCAGCTCTTGTATGTGCCAAAGCATTACTGGACCAGGTGTTTTCTGTTATCTTACAAGCAAAAGACATATCAGTACTATTATGTGTGATTATATTTAAATCAGTAGAAACAACAACATTTAAAATATGAAAGACAAAGCATTTAAATTAAAAGGAAATATATGGCATTTGCCCCTGAAAGGAAATATTTCAGGATTTTGTGGCAAACTGATCTGTCTCACACCCTTGATACACAGCTGCTTTCCTCAACATTCTTTGGCATCCTTTATCCTTCCATTTGGCCTCTCCAGCTTTGTCAGATACACCCTCCATGCTTTTTGTGTCTTTGTCAACAGTTTTCTGATCTTTATGGGAAGGTTTCACAAGGATTCCATCAGCCATATCTTTGCCTCATTGGAAGTTACTGGAACAGCAATAATGTGACTTCAGAAAAATGAGGTTTTCATAGGTGAGAAGTGGGAAGGAAGAGGGATGGAAAAGGAATGGTAATTAGCTTTTGGGATGTGATGGATACACGACTTGGAGCTTGCCAGATTAATCTTTGCTGTAAAACATTCACAGTGACCACAGATTCAGCAATGCATAGCAAAAACAATTCTTTGAAAGAATAAGTTTTTGTGATAGCAAAAGTGAAATCTTTTATACTATACACAGTCACCCATCTCCATACCTAAAAAATAGCAGAGCTTTGAAATAAAGATGTACTAGGGAGGGAACTCTGCTGACTGTCTCCAGCTCATACACACTGAGAACATTTACATCCTAATTAGTTTGAGAGGACACTTTGCGAATTTGGTCCAAGGCCAGATGAGTGTTCATGTTATAGCTACAGAGAGAGATAAAAAAATCCTGCAATATTGATACTAGTCAAAATCGCTTCCCAGTATACTGATAAAACTTTTCTCCTTGGAAAGATTACTGCAGAAGTGTTAGAGCTAAAATACAGTCTATAAAGGTCAGAAGACTTTCTTGAAGTCTGCCTTCTTGTGGAGAAAAGGAGGGAATTTAAACCAGAATTATTTTTGTTGGCATTTAAATACACTATGTGTCTTTAACACAAGCCGTATGGGCAGAATCCTCAATTGTACCTGGTTATTGTTTAGCAGCAATCAGTGAGTATCACCTGCTGAGTATCTGAATTATCATATAATAATAATAATAATATCTGGTGAATTTTAGTATCCAAATCAGGTAATTTATGATGCAGTTGCAGGAACACATTATGATAAATTTATTCTTCTTTTACATTGTAGAAGTCCTGGTTCTATTTCCCATGGACCTTATGAATATTTGAGCATAGTTCTTGCCATTTCTTCAGTGATCTAGTAGATATTGGCAGGGGTATTAATCTGAGTCAAAATGCTGATAGCAAAATTGTAGGTAAACAGAATTCAAAGGATATCTTCCAGCATCCTAATCAGCTTAAATTTAATGGATAAAATTTTACAAGGTATAGGTAACTGTCAAAAATGAGTATCTCTTTTCCTGTTATTTGGAGAATGTGTGTGTGTTCTTTTGAAGTTAAATTCAAAAGAAACTGGACCTTGAGAGCAGGATCCTGACATTGTTGAGGCTGTATGAACATTCCTTGTTACCTTCATGTGAGAAGCTCATGTAAATCTCTTGATGCCTCCAAGGCATTTCAAGTCAAAGTAGGTTATATAGGCTGATAAAAAAATAGAATTAAAAATTCAGAAAGAAATTTTGTACTGTTCAAGGTTTTGTTTTCATTTTTGTATGATTCAATATAGGACACTTATTTTTTTTCTTTTTTCCCATGTTTTCCTTTTTTCTGCTACTTTATTTCTTTATGCAGGAATGTAGCTGATACATAGTCTTTAATTTTTTTCCCCAAATGAACCTGTCAAAACTAACTAAATAGGAAATTTTAACTGGGAAGAAGGAAGAAAAATTACTTTTGTACTACCTAAGGAAAAAGGGAGGATAAATTAAGTTTTGATGACAGGCTGTGAGATTTCAAAGCACTTTTCAGTAAAACTTTACCTTGGGGAAAAAAAAATTATAATTCTTTTTAAAAGTGATTATAATATTATAATTCTTTCTAAATGCTTCCCATGAGTCTGCCATCAACTCTTGTCCCAGATTTCCATTGAAAATGACCGAGAAAATACATCTGCTAGAATTCGGACAGTGTGGAAACTGCTACCACATGCTATCAGGGACGTGAAGTAGCACATCATCCCTCTCTGTTATCCAGAGGGAAGTGTGTGGGGCACTGCAAATCCCTCCAGTCCTGGAGCCACAGGATCTCCGTCCAAATTTTGTCTGATCTTACAGACAGAGTACCTCACTTCATCTTTGAGCACCACCTGTGCCTTAAAACTGTTATCTACCTCTTGGAAATGACTTGGGATGTGTAATTCATTATCAGTCACGACAGCATGTTTGTTACTTTCCTAAAGAAGAATTAGAAAAGAGGTCAAAGAGTGCAAACTGCTGAGTTTTTCCTTAGATTTCAGAAGATGTAATAGCTTTTTTCTGAAGTATTAGTGTAAATTAGCTGGTGAGATACAAAGTCTTACTTTTGATGGAATTAAATTCTTGACTAAATATAGCTTTAGTGGGAATTGTAATTTTAAATTTTCTGTACTGAAATTGTAGTGTGCCAGCCAACAGTGACCATTAACTACAGCCACCCTTATTTTAATTAAAGTCATAAATTCATAATTAGAATTAGTACAGATCTCTGGTGTGGTATTTTTTTGAATACATGACTGAATGTATTGATCTCCTTTCTTTCTATTTCCTGATCACAAGTATAAGTTACCTATTGGTTGCATGATGTTCCTTCAATTTCCTTATTGATTTTAGTAAACCCATGATGAGGTGTTTGAATTGTTAATTACAAAATATGATAATACAATTAAAAAAATTATTTAACTGTTACTATTGATTCTGTAAAGGCTTTGAGATCCAGGAGGTAAAAAATGTGCCCCAGGAGCTAATTATTCGCAGATCTTAAAGAAAGACTTCAAGTTCAAGTGAATAACTAGAAATGGAAAGGGGGAGAAAACTCCTCTTCAGTTCAGTGGCCTAAGACTTGTAGCGTCAATAATCTTATGAATCAGTGTTGCTGACAGTGCAGGCTTCAGTAAACCCACGCTCGAGGTACATAAACTTTAACTGTTAAACCTAGCCCTTTTCTACACTTTTTAGATGCAAATATCAACAAAGATGCAGCTGAGTTTTCAGTTCAAATTGCCTAGGTCTTCTAGGCAAGATGGGTCTTCTTTTTGCCTTTAACTCAGAGGGATGGCAGTTTGGTTTTTGTAAATGTGCAGATGTGTGTTTTGACCTACAGAACAGAGAACTCTTTTGCAGAAAGATGAAACTATTTTACTGATAACTTGTGCCCTGCTTCTTCCTATCTTGACAGTAACATGGAAAAAAACCCACTTTTCTGTAATCTTTCTGATGCTTGGTCTGCAGACCGTGTTGTACAGAGTGCATTCCTGAGCTAAAGTAGTAGCTTTCCTGGATAAATGTTGATGTTTCAGACAAGAGGAGTGTGAGTGTGAGCAATACAAGTTCTGTTGAAAAAGTGATTGCTAAACCACATGAATTTTGTTTATTAATTCTATTTCTGATTGCAAACACTGAGAATTAGGCATTTATGACACTGTCCTCAGGTTTTACACTATATTTCCCCAAAATCTGAAGTATATTGTTAATATCAAGGTCAGTCAGTATAGTTTTACTTTAAAAATACAGCCTTATTCAGAATGAACACACATCATCCATGCATTTCAAAGGCAAAATGACAAACGTGAAATCTGAGAAGGGAAGCAGTCCAGGAAAAGGAGGAAAGCATTCCAGGAAAAGTCTGTGGGAAGAAGTGTAAACTGTGTATCTGCTTGTCTGGTTGAATAGCATTCCACTGGTGCCTATTTCATTCTGTGGAAGAAAGTTAGTTCATTTTTGTGGTTTCTTTCTCTGCATAATTATGACTGTCTGCACTAAACAGACTTCAATACCAGTAAATAATTAGTCATTTGGAGTTACTTGTTACAGGGTAGCCTAAAATAACTAAAATCACCCAAGTCAGTGGGTCTAGCTTCAAGTGATTGAACCGGCAGTTGTGGGTTCTACCTTGACCACTTCTCTTTGGCTGATCCCTGTTTCTCTTGTAACCAAATGGCTCCTGTTACCATAGAGGTGTCCTGTGCCATTGCTGTACCACAGTGGGAAGAGAGGTTGCTGCCACTTTACATAGCATAAACGTGAAAGAGAGAAAATCTGCAGATTTTTGTTCTACTTCCTAGAAAGAACTAAAAGGAAAATTTCTCCTTGCCTTCCTTTTGCTGTTTAGGTACTTGCAGAGTTACCTTTCACATCCCTTGCCAGATTCAACTGTCAATGTGCTTTGCCCTTCCTAACCCCAACCCTGCACAGTCAGACAGCATCTCTGTACTCCTCTGGGATCAGCTGCCCCTGCTTACACCTCTTGTGCTTCCTTTTCATGTCTAAGTTTAGTTAGGAGCTCCTTGCTTATCCACACAGGCCTCCTGCCGCCTCTGCTTGATTTCCTACTTTTTGAGGCTGACCTTTGTTGAGCTTGGAGGAGGTGGTCTTTGAATATCAACCAACTCTCCTGGACCCATCTTCTCTCTAGGGCTTTATCCCATGGGATTCTTCCAAGCAGATCTCTGAAGCCGTTTGAGTCTGCTCTCTGAAATTCAGGGTTGTAGTCCTGCTTTTTGCCCTGCTCCCTCCTCTTGGAATCCTGAACTCTACCATTTCATGGTCACTACAGCAAAAGCTGCCCCTGATTTTCACATCCCTGACTTTTTTTTCCTTGATTTTATGTATCAGGCCTAGCACAGCACTCTTCCTGGTTGGCCCTTTGATCACCTGTGTCAGGAAACCTGTTAATGTACTCGAATTTTTCACTTACCAAATACAAGTAGGCATGCTCTTTCTCATCATTTTGGTGGTCAAATTGCAGTAGTAATAGCGAGTTCTGTCTTTCTACTCTAGCATGAAAATTATTTAAAGACCAAGCATTAAATACAGGGAGTAGTCATTTTAAGCGAGTGTCTAGTCTACTGTAATGTTTGACCTGTAAGCCTTATTGTAAGAATCTTTTCAAAAACAGGTAAGGTGGATAATATTCTCATGTGTTTACTCACCACATAACCTAGTAGGGAGGCTCAGTCTCTTTCCACAAGCACACCAGAATGATTGCTAAAATTTTCTTCCTCTCAAGCCTGTGTTACAGTGTCTGCTTAGCTGCATTTTTTAAAATTGCCTGAAAACTTAATGTTTGTACTCTTTGTGCTATAAAGATCTCATGCAGACCAAGGAGCATGTATTCTCAGGCTTTCCTAAAATGCCATGCTGTACTTTTTATATACTAAGGACTTTGCTTAATACTACAAAGTAAACAGTATAGTATTCGGTTCTCACATTTGGAAATTTTGGATAAAATCTTAGTCTATATTTCCTGTTGTTAAGTTATGCTTTTCCTTTCTGCATCAGTGTTGGGTTATGTTATGACTGCAGAGTCTTTTGCAATGCATTGCCTAATTTTCTTCTTTATTTCAGGGTCACAGTACCCAGTTTTCCACTGTGTCAACAGAATCACTCATGAGGAGGTATCTGAGAGTTACTGTGACAGCAGCACCAAACCTATTCCAGAAGAGGAGGCCTGCAACCTCTTCCCATGTCCAGCTTTGTAAGATACTACAATTTAAATCAAGTGAAATAAGCCGATGTCACTAAGGTTTTGCATGTGAAAGAGGCTATTCTAAGCAGGAAACCAGTTTGAACTTCTGAGTACTATGCACTTGTGTCATAAAGTGTAGTGGATATTTTTGCCTTAGTTGCTAGTGGTCTTCTCCCCCTTCACAGGGAGCGGTAGCATTCAGAGAAGACAAAAGGGAACTTGGCAACAAGTGAGTGTCATAATTTCTCAAATTTGGTGTGACTGTTCAGGCGTGCACACTATACATTGTCTCTCTGTGTACATTCTTTTCAAATGACAGATTTCTGCATATACCTGTTTAAAGGAGAGGCTCTAGATTACATCACTCCACATTGGATCAGTGTGCTGTAGTACCCACCTGCTCATTCCATGGTATCATATTTAAAGATGAGGATGATAGTGCTCACAACAGCCGCCTCATAAACATCACCTCTCTTTCCTGGAATTCAGTAATTCTTCAACTTGAAGACTGAATTCTGAAGTAGTAGTCCTTGTTTCCAGCATGCTACTACAACCAACTCAGTTTGATTTCCTTCTGAAAAGATACTTTCCATCAGGAGACTGTGACTTACAATTGGCTAAAGAGAGTCTTTTAAATAATGAATAAAAGTCAATTAATCTAGGGTGTATACCAAGAAGAGAAAACGGTTAAACCCAGTTGCCATTGTAGCAACTTCATTTCACATCAGCAGCTGTATTTTCCATCTCTCTTGTAGTAGCATTCTTCAGTTCTCTTCTGAGCAGCAAGTGGCCACTCCTTATCCCACCAAGTTTCTAGTGGAGTAAGTGCTGTCACAGTGTTCAATATGCCTGACGAGCGATTTCCTAGTGCGTATTAGATGCACAGGAGCTTCTGAAGCCATTTACTTGGGGAGGTCTTCTCTCACTAAGCATTTTTCTCACCTTTTTCTTTCTAACAACTCATATTAATTCAGCTTCATTTGTTTACACAGGATAATGGCAAAAATATAAACAAATATATATAAATATTTATTTAAAAGAATACAGAGATTTCACTTGCTCTCCACAAGAGTTCTGAAATAAAATGTGTGAACAATTCAGATACTTCCCTGATTTGTGTATGTCTTCATGCTTGAAATTAAAATTGAAAGGGAAAAATGACATGTTTATACAAAAATGGTTAAATAAATACAGTGAAAACTTGGAATGAGAAGAATGTATCTAGGAATTTTTTTAATCTCTAAAATTAAATGTATTCATTGCTTATCATTTGCTATTTCAGTTTTACTGATGAATGAATGCCTGGATGTGTTATGTGGGGTTTTTGTGGTATTGTCCTTTTTTAGAGCCTTTGCTGCAGAAAAATTTTATGCAATACATCTTAAATTTTTGGGAAGTGCCATTAGAGCAATAATATATATTATAGATAGATACTTCAAAAACCACAATATTATTACTGGCTTAATTAATGTTTGTAATATGTCTTGAAACCATGAATTGTGCAATCTCTACACATGCTTATTATTATCAGGCATTACAGGTAGATTGGTTATATGTATATAACATTGTCTTCATAAAGGATTAAGTTATGCATGCAGGGGTTTAAGGGATATTTTATAAGATTCTGTTCTAGCATTTAGAATCATGTCATTTGAGTTCTGTTAAGATCAGTATTAGATAAATCTTTCCTGAAAAAATATGTCTGGTTTTGTTGTTTTTTTTTTAATCTTTAGTTGGGATATAGGGGAGTGGTCTGAGTGCAGCAAAACATGTGGCCTTGGTATGCAGCATCGACAGATCTTATGCCGACAAATGTATGCCAATCGGACATTGACCGTTCAGCAGTACCGCTGTCATCACCTGGAGAAACCAGAGACAACCAGCACTTGTCAGCTGAAGATCTGCAGTGAATGGCAGATTAGGACAGAGTGGACTTCAGTAAGTATGATTGAGTAATATGGAGCATAAAACCTCAGAAAAGAATAAGAATTTTCTTCCAGGTATCACTAATCGAACATGAAATTTGCTTTTGTTTAAAACAGGGAAGTGGAATGTGCAAAGCCTTGGAAATAGGTGAATCTTAGTTCAAGAAGAGCTTGCTCAGTTATGACCATTAAAGTTTACTATTCATAACCAAAAAGAATCTGAAAAAAAGTGATTGAATAGTCCAAACCACACAGATGTGTGTGTACAGAAGTACACAGGCTTTCTGAAGAATGCTTTTCTTTAACTTCTATATGAAGCAGAGTTGGGAGAGTCCTGAGAGGTTTGCCTGTGATGGCAAACACTGCTTTTTCTCATAGCATATAGAGTTAAATTCCAGGAGATATTTGACCTTATGTATATATTAAGGGTAGAGTCAATAATTGCCGTTACTGTAGTTGGATGGGGCTATGCCAAGACTTTCAGATAAATGTGGACAGTAGTTGTGAGCTTTAATTTCTGTGTTGCTTACGAAAGGTTTAGTCAATCTGGCAACCATCCTAGACACTTTCATGACCATTGCATGCAGGAGGAATTACCTGGTGTATTAGGTGTCGTGATGAACAAATCTCAGTTAGCCATGATGCAAAGCAAAAAAATTGTAGAGTTGCTGAATTATGTGAGTGGATAAACCATGAAAAAATCCAGCTTAAACTCTGAACTTAAACCTTCTTTTTCCTTTCTGCTGAAGTGCTTTCTTGTTCCTAATTCCTCCAGCCTGTGCTAGAATACATGTCAAAGCACACAGTGACAGTAGCAGCACAGCTCTCCACCCGCACAGTCACAGAAGGCCAGAGAGTCTTGCAGCAGGCTTCGTGTGGCTTTATAGCAGGTCTTCCCCCGTGGTAAAGCCTATGTGAGTTCACTCCCTCAGCTGCTGCATTTCTGAGCCTGATGGTGGCATTGTTAACTTCCTAATCACAAAGTATCTGTGATACGTTGATATATTCCCAATAAAAAATTAAAAATACCTAGCCAGACAAATGTAAAGATATGTTGGTTGGTTAATTAATTATTCATGATGAATGAAAATCCATCTGGAGTTAAAGGACAGTAAAATTCATATTAAAGGTAAAGTTTTGATTATTTTATTGTGTTGATGATCAGAAAGGGGAGCTGGTTTTGTGTGGTTGCATTTTAAGAAGTATTTCAGTGTACAGAGCCTTTAGAGGTTTACTGCATATGGTGAATCAAGCTAAACAAATGCTTTAGAAATTGTAGCTGGTTGAATATAAGCATAATTTCAATAAAATTTTGGTATTAATTTCCTCTTGGAAGTAAAATTAAAGTTCTTGGCATGAGGAAGACCCATCATAAAGAAAGGAGCAATTGAGTTTGCCAACTGGTTTCAGAAGAACATTTATTTTTGTTTGTGCTTACTAGGGTACAGTTACATTTTCACTTTGGAGACAGGTCTGTGACCTTATAAATAAGCCCGGTTTAAGATTTTAATGTGCTTACCATTTTTTATGACATACAAATGTCAAAAACTGTGGTCTAAATTTGATGAGAAAAAACAGCTTTGTGGCAATTTTAGCTTGGGTTAGCAGACTTGACTCTGGACAAATCGCCCCCTTTTTGACCTAAGGAATGGGGTATTTGTTTTTTTCAGTATTTTGCTATTTAATGGCCTCACACATCTAGCCTGGGTTTTGAGCAGTGTTCTAGAGTGAGCAGTTGAACAAATAGCTGCAGTCTGAAGATGAAGACTGTGAGTTATCTTGCTGTAGGGAATATATTTAATATAATAAATAACTTTGATGTATAAATATAGTAGATATGATTAAGTATTTGAAAGCAAAAAAACTCCAATGAGTCTGCCTTTGGAAGCTCTGATCTCCCTCGTGTGCAGATACTGCATATTATCTTTAATCTTCAAATTCCCAGAGATTTTCCCCTTTAATTCTAGAGTGTTTCTAGGACTCATCAAAACATTTCATGCATACACAGCAGAAAATTATGTTCCCCTCTTGCTTCATGATCTGGATGCTTCACATCATCAGGGAGCGTTCTCTGAGCTTGAAGAAAAGAGAGCAGGAGAAGGCAGCCTTTACTTGTAAGAGAGATTCAGAAGTTGTGTTTGTTTGCATTTTTCTTGCTTCATATCTGCTTATAGGTCAAGATCAAAATTATGCAGAATATGTCAGCCTGCTATAAAAACACCAGCAGTTCATTACAGCATGGCCTGTTGAAGATATAGTTTAATTTTATGTTTTCCAAATGTATCTACATAGTATACTGCAGAATACTACAGACTGAGAATTTCATTTAAAACTATTAATGTGCTTTTGTTGCCTATTCCTAACAATCTAGAGTTCTATAGCTTCTGTGGATGTCTTAGCAGGAATGAATAACTGTACGTCCCAGCTCCCTGATAAACCACTGCAGTTTTAGCTGAGTCCTGATTCAACCTCCCTTTTGTTACAGTGTTCAGTGCCTTGTGGAGTGGGGCAGAGGACCCGAGATGTGAAATGTGTCAGCAACCTTGGAGACATTGTTGATGATGAAGAATGCAACATGAAGCTGCGGCCAAATGATATTGAGAACTGTGACATGGGTCCCTGTGCTAAGAGCTGGTTCCTTACAGAGTGGAGCGACAGGGTAAGGCTTCTCATTATCTCTGTGCTGCCAAATCTTCTAAAATACCTCAGGTGCATCAGAATTAAAAAATACACATCGGTACAGCCATAAAAAGAGTGATCTTATTTTCCATGTTTATCCTTGATCTGTGAAACAGGCAAAAGCAAACAAAAAAATAATGATCCCAAGGGCATTGTGAGTTTGTGTTAGATACAAGAATGCATAGAAAGGGCAAGTGTGTGGGTACATGGCCAAACACCTGGATTTAGAATTTTCTCTGTGTCTGAATGTCCCAAAATATTGAGTGTGCTGAGATTTATTATTCTGCCTTTGCTTAGGCCTGTGGCTCAAGATTCAGACTCTAAAAGTTTCCCTACTGTTTTTTTAAGGGATGGAGGTTTGAGGCCTGATGTCTGGGTTTAAGTTTAAGCCATAAAACAATTATCCTATAGCTGTGAAAAGAGGGGAACAACTTCATAAACTCAGGCAAGGTTGATTCACACTTTTGTACTTTGTGAACATGGATGTAATTTTTTTATTACAATGAGTCGGTTTCTCCCCATGAAAACAATAAGACCAGTGGTGATTTACCCTGTTTCATGATCGGGCTCTGAGTTGGTGTTAAGTAGTGATGTTTATATGCTTTTGTTAAAAGGCTTTCAAACATGGGCTAAGAAAAGCCTGGTATTTTGGTCCCTCTTGTGGATGCTTGCGTATCAATTTCATCTGTAGACGAGCCTTCAGTCTGTAAAATCCTGACAGCATGTCCCTTTTCTTTGACTGGTTGTTTTAGCAGGCAAATGATATAATTTATCATTGAAGCTGTAAGATTACATTCATAACTTAACAGATTCATTATGTAGATCATTTTGTGATAGTATCTCTGAAAGCTGGGAATGTCTGGCTCATAGGTTATACATTAGCTTGGACACTCAGAAGATTTTCCCCATGTTTTAAATGCAGAGAAGGAGGAGGAACTTCACAAGTAGGACAGGTACCTTAGTATGTCACATAATTTTTAAAAGGCTGATCACACTGTTTCTACAGTTGAAGGCCAGCCATATTTTAAGCCATCAGACAACTCAAACAGATTTTACAAAGAAAATAAAAAAATTATACACAATCAGTCTTTGTTGTTGTCATTTGAACTTTTTTTTCAAGCTGTTATTCACTCAGTGTATGCTTTCACATAGCATGGACAGAAAGTTACCAAGTATTAGTGCAAATGTCAAAGTTTTTATTGTAGGGGGAATGATGGTAGCTTTTTTTTTTTTTTTAAGCTTGTAGATGTTCTTCATACAGTGCTATTAAAGCTGTATTTTACAAGTAAGAGAGAAAAATGCATTCTATCCTTAAAGACATCTTTCTTGAAAAAGTTGGCCCAGCTACTATCAGCTAGTGCAGTTCCACCACATAAAGCACATACATTCCAATGAAGGCTCTAGAATCAATGTTTTCTTCATTATTCTATATTGACATTTTGTCCTCTGCAGAATTAAAAGTAGGTTTTGTAGCTGAAGGTTATGACTGTAGAATGTTGTTATGCTTATTTATATGTATTAAATGAGACATAAAAGTGAAGCAGGTAACGTGGAAAATGTTGGAGTTTTTCTTACCACAGACATTTTAGGGTCAGAAAGTAAAGAATGTATTTTGTTACCTTCTCAGCTTATATAAGTGTACAAATTAATTTCTTCCAAATGCTTGCTACTGTAGTTGGCATTATTCACCATCACTTCTGCCAGCAGTGGGTTTGGAGTTTGATTCACAAAGAGATTGGAAGGAATAGCTTATTTCAGGAGAAAAGTAGATTCAGGCTATAATGTGCAGAATCTTCTAAAGTTCAGACATACCTTGCAACTTTGGATGTTCAGAGACATTTGGTGACAGTAATTCCAGTGGAAGCCAGTGGAATAGTAGTTAATAGCTCTGCAAAGTCAGGCCTTTGGCCATTAGCTTTCTTACTGTGCCTTTCAAGTGTGGGTTTTTTAGGATCAGAAATCTTTCCCTCTTTGTAGAGGAGTGTGTTTCTATTGAAAGACAAGAGGATAATTCTGTCATGGAATGGAAATGGGCACTCCCAGGTATATGGACTTTGCATGTGTAATTTCCCCAAACAATTCTTTTAAAAGTACTTTAAGCCAAGCCACACTTCAGCAATAAGCAGAGATCAGCGATGGGCAGCCACAAATGTTTCAGATAAGCAGCCAAAAGTTCAAATGCTTAAAGAAAGCTTGTTCAAACCTCTTGAGTCTGCAAAACTGTGGTGGAAATCTCACAAGAACAGACCTTCTTTGTGAGATTTATTACATGCCTACTTCAAGTCCCAGCTGGAAATACCACAGAACAGTCTTTCCCATTGTATTTTGACATTTCAGCCGTGGCTAGAAATAAAAGGTAAAAGAACTTATCATAACTTTTGAGAACGGTGGAACTTTGAAATGGTTGAGTTCAAACTTGGTTACAGCCATAAGAGAAGGCCTGGCCTGTACTTTCCTGAACCCATTTTGCAAACACTTAATGTGTACTGCTGCACATGCAGCAAGTAGAGAATTCCGGAGGCCTGTCAGAGATTGGCTAGGCACATACTTTCTCTTTCAGCAAGGGATATATCAAACTTCCATGTCCGGATTTATGTGATGCATGGGGCATTACAATATAGCCTTGGTTAATTAGCGAAACATCAAGAAAAAAGCACAGTAACATAAACATTCCAATTGTCTTTGCTGCCAACAGATGTTAAATTTCAGGATTTGATAACCGCGATATATGTTTGTGCAGAATTTGACAAGGGTATTCTTTAACACGGGGAGAGAAAGAGATGAATGGTCATGTCTGAGTTCTAAGAAAAGGACGAAATCTAGTTTAGGATTGGTTGAAAGATTTTGGAGGTTTCTTATTTCACTGAAACCTTGCAAAGTTTTAGTTGATGAAAAATCATGCTAGTTTTCTTCATTTTCATTAATAATTGCTGTGGTTCTGAATTGGAAGATTATATCATTAAATTTCAATAAATGTAACTTCCACCACACATCATACGTGCACTTAAAAACCCGCAGAGTACATACAGACTTGAGTGTAGGAGTTGTGTCTCCTTCCCAGGGTGGGCCTTATGTAGCTTTACTCTGTAAGTAACACTTGGCTGCCTTCTCACCCTGTTCTCCCATCTTTTTTTCCCCAAAAATATAATTATGTATTTTATGGCCCACCTGTTTTCCCCCCATGGCATTGACTTTCCTGGATTCAGTTTCTTTCTACAGAGGCTGATTCTTTATACATACAATTAATTCTAAGTAATTAAAACAACCTTCATGTTGCTAAAACAATACAGTTCTTGATTTGAGTTATTTTGATAAACAGGTATCAGTGTTGATTGTATGTATGTAACACAGACACTTTACCTGCAAAGCTTATGAGCTGTATGGCTACCGTGTGCACACTGGTGGAGCATGTAAAGGAAGGAAGGAAGGAAAACAATTCATCCTTCAGTAACAAACACTTTCTGAAAAGTATATGCTCAGTTATTTGTCTGTGAAGTAGATCTAAACACCGTATTCTGATATCTCCCAGGCTCAATCTAGAAGGAAAGAGAAATTTTTACAGATATCAATGGGAGACATTATAGGTTAAAAGTCTCTAGCAGCAAGGTGAGACTCATCTTACTTTATATGTGCCTGTCCTTACATTTATTGCTCTATCTTGAGTATAAATAAGAGAATCAACTTAACTTTCATGGCTTTGTCTTCTACATGATCTTTAATCCCTTTTGATTATAGAGTCTGGACAAACTTTTGTGATATTTTTACATGCATTTGTAGAAAGATGGCTTCCTGTCTCATAATTCTTTTAAGATGTCATACTGCATTAAAATGGCAGAGTTCCACCAAACTGCATCCATTAATCAGTAGAGTAAAGCTGGTGAACCTTACTGAACTTAGCAACAAAATTGGATTGATGGGAGCAGATGAGATTCTTACAAACATTTCACATGACTGATTCTTTGACAGCTCTAATTGCAGGAAAGTTTACTTCTCCTATGGGTCAGAAGCGGGAAACTGCATTCTACTGATTTACAGCAATGGGAGACTCACCAGTGTTTCCTTCCAACTAACTGGAGCATTCCCTTCTTGCATTTTTGTTTATTCCTCATTGCCATCTCCTCTGTTCATTTGTTTCCCATTTTATGTTTAGAGCATACTTAGAAAAGAAGCCAAAATACAAACAATTCTTAGATGTTAATGAGATTCTGAGGCCAAAATAAAATCTTGTGAAGAAAGAAAAAATGCTTCACATCAGGGAACAAAATCAAAACAGATCAAACACATGCTCTGGATTTCACTCTTCATTAAAAGGAGTAACAGCAATGCTTCTGTAATATCTTCCATTAAAGAACTGTAGTAAAAATCCTCACAATCCTAAAGCATTACCTAACAGGTACAGGTGGATTTGTTGACCAATCAGATGTGGAACCATCAAGGAATATTGTAGTTCACACTCTTCTTCCACTGTTTTTATTTAAATTGGAATAGCGCTCCTGGATCCAGGGAAAAAAAAAAAAAAAAGGAAAAGAGACCACCGTGCAGTTTGTGCAGGTGTTTGTTATTTTTGACTATCACCGTGTATTTGTTTTCAGTATAAAATGAAAACAAGATAAAATACCCCTTTCCATTGATTTCATGTGAGAATCATACGGAAATAGAAGTTTTGCATTCTTCGTGTAGAAATATGTAACTCACTTCATAATTTGCAATGAAGCAGAGCCAGGAGAGTTTTGAAGAAGACATTGATAGAAGGGTGGCCAAGACCTACAGAGATTTCTGTTTTCTTCTCTAGAGCTAATCTCTCTTTGCCACAGTTCAGCTGCTTCAGATGAAAACCAGCATATAAAATCCTGCATGGCGGGGGGTAGCCTTGCCAGGTGGGGCCCACAGTATCCCAGTTAGGTCAGCAGGGCAGGCTTGTAGGTGGCAGGCAGAGGCAAAGGCGAGTCCAGATTAGCAAGCAAAATCATGGTGATGAGGCAGGTGCAAGATCAAGCTGAGACCAAATCCACAGCTGGGGTCCAGTGACAGTAACGAGGGTCAGACCCTGCCGGGATCCCGGGGCGGCTCCATGGTCGTGAGGCGGGGACAGGGTCAAGCTGAGGAGTCCAGGGGTGAGGGATCACTTGAGGCCCGTACCCAGGCTGTGGTTGGGGACGGGCACATCTCTGATAGAGCTCAGGCAGGGACAAATGGGCCAGGGCTGAGGTTAAGTGGAGACCCTGGGCCGTGGGCAGGGGTGTGGGTAGAGGCCCCAGGTCAGTAAGTCAGGGCCAGTAAGGCACAGTGGTGCAGTTGGGCCCTGAGAAGTTCTTACAGCTCTCAAGGCAAGTCATACTTACTGTATGAGCCAGAGTAGTGGTCTGTTCCCTATCGTTATTTACTTCACAGAGCATTAGTAATATGTACCAAGAGTATTATCAACTCCATCTAAAGAAAGTAACAGTGTGTATGTAGAACCGGTCATGATCCAGCTGAAGTGTCCAAAAATTCTAAGACTGTGTTTCAAAACTGTGTTACCTTGGAAGGAAACCATGGATCTGCTAGACTAAATACAGGGATGGTTTGACGGTTTGACTTCTGACACGGCACCTACTGTATAGATGCACTCTGAAGGGAAGTAATTTAAATCCAGATATCAGAAAGTATTTTGGCAATACATAAGGATATCTGTAACTACCGCCCTCCTTTTTTTAAAACTTTTTTTTTTTTTAAGAAGTCAAGGCTTCTCTCAACAGTTTTATGTCCTTTGAAAATCTGCCCCCAGTCTTGGAACTGAAACAGAAGTGAGCTTCTGAAATACAATTCTTAGTTTATTGTTGGGAAAACAAAGGTTACATAATCCTTCTAAAATCCCTTCTGAAAGGGATTTTCTCAGAGTAGGTCAAATAATGCTAAGGAGTTTTATAAACATATTTCAAACATAGGTCTTCATTTCTGTTTTTTTTAGTAGTGTAACATCAGGAGGATGATTCATGAAAAACTTTGCTCTCTTATGGGAATAATTGAGACGATGAAGGTTAACATGTGGTAGACAGAAATCCCGCACAAATGGGGACATTTTACTGGAACTCAATTGGTTGTTATTTGAAAATTTAATTAAGGCTAGCAATGATGCTGAGACCTGAGTGAAAGGACTCTTAAGTTTTGGTAGATCTCCTGCTGCCTCTTTCTTGTTGTCTGTAACCCCAGTTGAGGGTAATGAGGGAGGGCTGGCACATTAGTGAAAGGGAACTGGCAATGTTAAAGAGTTTTTTCGCTCTACCATGTCCTGTGGCTGTGACAAAGATTCAGGCCTCCACTTGTAGTTTTGCAGGAACTAGACTTATTTTCCTGGACGACTTTTACAGTTGTTTTCTGACAACCATCAGACCACTGGATTAGAGGTGGATTTTTTTATTTTTAGTTTTTAATGGGAATGGAAAGCTTCTGAAACTGAACTCATGACGGAAGGACCTCAGGAAGAGAAGAAATGGCAGACTCCTTAAAACTAGGGAGGGTGTTTCACAGACTAAGGTTTCTGAGGAATTTCTGCCAATTAAAACAAGACAGTGAAACAATATATCTTTAATAATAGGACCAGAACAGAGAAGTTGCAGCTTGTGAAAGTTCCTCATGTCACACAATATTCGGTTATGGCAGTTACTTTGTATGAATGCAACAAATCAATGGCAAAAACTTGAATGTAGTGGGTGTGTCAGTTGTGAAAACCAAAGGGAGAGGATTCATTATCCAAACACTCCCTACTCCCTGCCTTGGGTTTTGGAAGTCATGGCTTTCACATGGAAGATTTTTACTGAAAGGAAGATGAAAACATGAAAAACCAAATACTTAACGCAGAAACATTCAGGTTTAAGTTTGCTTTGTAAATCCTTTGAGAGTAGTTAATCTGTAGTAAAATCTTGCAGCAGAGGGTGGGACAACCCTATACCTTCCCATTTGGTATTTCCTTTGTTATTTGATATGTAAGCCTAGTTCATGCATAATCATTTAAAACATAAGACTGTGGAGATTTTTTGGATGACTTTATAGACTAAACTTGTTCCCAGCTCTGGTTTTCAAGGCAGAAAAGCAAATTAGATTGTCAAATGAAAAGTAGTTAGGAATAAGAAAAGTATTTGCAGAGTATGTGCATAGCTCTCTATGCATAATGTAATTGAACCTACTTGCCAAGGATAAAATATGAACAGCCACAAAATTTATTTCTGTACAGTGTGTTTGAAAGGTAATCATTTTATGGGGCTCAGTTTAACAGTCAGTTTACTGAGGAGTGGACTGTTTGAAATGGGTTTAGTTTAGTTTTAGTTTACATAAACAGGAAAACATTCACTACTAGCACAATTGACATCATTCTTGTATTTTCAAGATTTTACCAGTTTACTTTGAAAAGTCCTTAGCCATCAAATCTTGTTTGCTGAGGAGGTAAGTGTATTTTACATCTCTGTGTGAAAGTGGAATATTTTGTTGTGCACCAATAAAAAAACGTTCGTTATGTTACTTACAGGTATCATTTAAGAAGAGCTTAATTATTCAGTCTTGCAGATGAAGAAACTATTCCAAACTATGAGCAATTTTTTCCTTTTCCTGTGGAGTACATAAGCATCTCTAAATTCTGAATTGCTAGCTATTCCAAACTGTGTTTTGTGTGTTAAAAAAAGGACTTGTAAAAAGTTGAAACTTTTTTAGTTTTCTAGGGATTCCATTTCAGTAAAGCTTTGCCTTTCTATTTGAACATCTTGTGAAAGAAACCCACTTGCTGATAGGAAAAATGTTTTTTGTACTGTATCTGTGGACCAAGCATAGCATGACTACATTTCACACAAATAACCAGTATTCTTCGGTGCAAGTGAGTAAAAAGTAGTTTGGAACCAACTGTACATTCAGTCATTGGTTTCTCTTTTGAGAGTGAATGACTGTATTGGTTAATCCTGTTACTAATAGTGGTGCTATCATGGCATCTGCTGTTCTGTAGTTGAACTACTGGATGTGAACACTTACATTACTAGTGATGGGAGCAAAATCAAGCTAGTGGTCAACTCTGTCTCATTAACAGTTCTTAGAATCATTCTTAATTTTATTCAATAAAATTTTAAAAAATGTTCCAATACAGAGTTACATTCATGAACAAGGAATGTACTGTTCATTGTGGTAAGTAATACACAGTTTGTACTAACTAATTACATTGTCAATCAAATGCATCTTTTTCTCCCATATACTCCATAGTTATGGTTTTCTTTGAATGTGTAATACAATTGTAATCATTTACATTTAATTATATACCTATCTTTCAGCTAGCTGCACATGTTTTTTTTCTTTATTTTAATGGTCTAGAATGAAATGCCAAATGCATTTCAAAAGAAGAAGAAAGAAAGGGAAAATTAACAAAGAATTAAGCAACAACAAAAGTCTAACACAAGAACTGATTATTTCCTTAGCATGTTTCTGGTTTTAGATGTCAATAGTTTGATGCTCCCAGAACAGTGGAATATTGGACTTTCCCACTGAAGTAGATGAATGATCAAACTGTAAGGGCATAAATGGAATTTATCCTGCATGATTTATGGATGACATGCCTACTGTCTCCAAATATGTGACATAAGAATCTGTGTATCACTATTTGTTAAGAGCTTTCAGAATTTAGCAGTGAAAAGTTGAGAAAGGTGAATGTTAGTTACTGGGAAGTCATATCACTAGAAAGCAACATTGAATCTACAACCACCTCTTCTGCTAAAACTAATTAGCAATTTACAATTGAAACAGGTTGGGCAATAATTAGTGATAGTTACAGTTATTTGCTGTGGATTTACCTGAATCTTTTTAAACCACCTGTCAAAAAATGTTACATTTTTCTACTTTATTGTGCTCTCATACTCCTGTCATGGAAACTCATTATATGGAAAAGTTCCAGGTTGTGCTATGGAGTCATTTCACTATCAATGCTATAACCCTCAGTCTTCCTAGCCTTGTCCTTTTAACCAGTGTAAAAGTTCCCCTGGCTGACAGTTTGAATCATCAGAGGAGAAACTCATAGAACAATTCAAAGGCTGAAATATGACTGCTGTCTGGAAAGCTGCTTATTGAAATTGTGCCTCCTCAGATTATTAATTGGTATGCAAAAAGATGAATGAACTGAAAACTGAAATAATTTACAGACATCAAGAAGGAAGGAAAACTAAGAAAGCTAATAAAAAGCTATCAAAAATAGATTTATTTCTTCCCTAATCATTTGATTTCTTTCATTTGTGACTGTAAAGGACAGGAACTACTTGCAATGTATTCAAAAGTGTGAAACTGTAAAATAATTTGCTACAGCTGAACTACAAGTAAAATAATCAACTTTACATAAATTAATTTACTTATTGTGATTGTTGCTTCTCATTTCATTGTGTGGTCTGGAGGACAGACTAGTGAACATGTTCCATCTTTTGCTCCCCAGTGTTCTGCAGAATGTGGTGACGGAGTCCGTACGCGTTCAGTGGTTTGCATGACGAACCATGTCAGCAGTTTGCCCCTGGAAGGCTGTGGCAACAACAGACCCTCTGAAACAACTCCCTGTAATAATGGACCCTGTGCTGGTAAAGTGGAGTGGTTTGCTGGGGCCTGGACACAGGTAAGCTCTATATCTAACATATGTATTTGTTTTCTGATGGCATTTTAATTTAAAAAATGTATTTTTGTGCAATGAAGATGTGAGCCATAAGGTATTTCTACAGCTCCGTGGAATATTTGCATATTTTTTCCTGTACTTTGCTGAGTTGATGTTCAATATTTTTCAGCATCTGCTTTTTTTTTTAATTTGCTGAAAATAGGATTTTGTTCTTTTCTTTCTCTCTACCTTTATTTTTATTTCTCATCTACTGGCCCAGTCAGTATATTTGTAAAATGAAAGGTAATAGAAGAGTGTTTAGCATATTCAGGTGAAAGCTAAAGCAGCAGATTAGCAGTTTTAAAATAGAGCCTTTGTGATCATGCATACCTGGAGGGGCTGGGGGGTGGGAATTTCCAAAAGATAAAAAGACAAAAAATGGCTAAACCCAAAAGTTAGCTTCAGTATTGTTGTGCTGAAATTCATGAAAAGAACAAAAGTTGGTTAGTGGCCTATATCATGATGCTCTTTCCTCGGGTAAATTCTACCTTTGATCCACATCTCAACAGTCCTTCTCATTCTAAATAAACATTTCTGCTGTCAGGAACAAAGGCATTTCAGAAGCTGTCATCCGATGCCCAGACATTTATGTCCCTTTGCGTAGGCTGTCATATAGTCTAGACACCCTTTCAGATTGCTGGTACCAGCACTTCATCGAGTTGGTAGGGAGAAGTCTCTTGGCTGTGTTGTTAACTCTCTGCATTTCAGATTCCAAGATCCTTCCAGGAGTTGGCAGTTAAACGGGTATGGCTGAGATGGAGATTACAGGGCTACTACTATGCTAATGCAGGCAAAGGGAAGGGGTTTGAAAGGACTGGTTGCATCTGGTGAATCAACAGTTGGTTACAGGACTGGTGCCACAGCCAGAGGTTTGGCTACTTAGACCATGGGACTCGCTTTGAGAAACTTGGCCTACTGGGGACTGATGGGCTCCATCTGTCAGAGAAAGGGAAGAGCGTCTTCAGTCACAGTTTGCCAAGCTGGTGGAGAGGGCTTTACACTAAAGTTGCTGAGGGAAGGGAACCTCAATCCATCCCACTCCTACCAGCTTGATGCCAGTGCCAGCAATAGATGCCCAGAGCCTGGAGAGGGTCACAGGTCAGCAGGAGAGCACTTGAAGAGCAGCACAGAGGGATTCCAGCCACTCCAGCCAGTAAGTCATCTTCCTTGGAGGCCCAGTTTAAATGCCTCTGTGCAAATGCACGTAGGACAGGGAATAAACAAGAGGGGTTAGAGACGCATGCATGCCTGCGGGGCTGCGATCTTACCGGCATCACAGAGATGTGGTGGGATGGCTCCTGTGACTGGAGTGCTGGAATGGAAGGGAACAGGCTCTCTAGGAAGGACAGGCAGGGGAGATGAGGTGCCGGGTCACCTTCTATGTCAGTGACCAGCCGGAATGCCCGGGGCCCTGTCTGGGGCTGGGTGAGGAGCCAACCGAGAGCTCACGGGTCAGGATTAAAGGGAAGGCAGGGACAGGAGACGTTATAGTGGGAATCTGCTGCAGGCCACCCGACCAGGAACACCGAGCAGGCAAGGGCCTCTATAGACAGACAGGCGCAGCCTCGGGTTCCCAAGCCCTGGCCCTCGGGGGGCACTTCAACCACCTGGTATCTGCTGGAGGGACAACACTGCAGGGCATAAGCAATCCAGGAGGTTCCTGGAAGGTCTTGATGTTAACTTCCTCCTTCAAGTGACAGAGGAGCCAGCGAGGAGAGGTGCCTCGTCACTTACACAACTCCATGCAGGTGAATAGGAACTTTGTATCTGTTCTTGCTACCACAGAGAAAAGCGTTCAGTAAGATCATCCTAACGCTCCCTATTCTGTTCTGAATAAACAAGTTTCCATCCTTTACAATTTCCTGTTCTTTTAAGCTAATTCACCTTCTTTCTTTGCATGAGATTGAATTGTTTGATGCATACCAATGGTACAAAGTCTTTCCTGTATGGTGTCTGAAAGAAGTGTCTGACATCTACAACCGGCCAAATCCTGACTTGCAAAATGAAAGCAGGGAGTCAGTAGACTAGAGCAGGAGGGAGAGTTGGTGGCTGACTGTATTAGGCTCTGCTAGAGCTAAGGCTGAATGTTAACATACTGTTCTTTGGAGGAACCATTAAAAGAGAGCAGTGGCAGAGATGTTCAGTGTTGAAGAAAGTGCAGTTAAGTTATTTCCTGTAGAATTTATCTGGGTGCATTCATTTCAAGGTTCTTCATTCAGCTTAAGGTTTTTGTCAGTATTTGATAAAGTGATCATAAATTCCACCCACAATATAAAAAAAATCCCTTCTTTAATAACATATGATTGGTTTAGGCTAGAAAAAGCCTTTGAAAATCATAGTCCTTAAACACAACGTAAAAACCAGTATGTTATTGGAATCCACTTCTAAAAACCCTTTTACACATGCCAGTAACAGTATTGTGTGTGTATTTAACCTTTAAATGGGCAGGAAGAGTCCATGTGACTCAAATTTGCTTTTCAGAACTGGAACCAACACTGCATCACACAGATACTTGCAAACATGAAAAGAACACCCTGGCAGATCAAGGCATTTTCTAAAAACCACACACAATGTGGGGATTTGTAAAGCTGCAAAACTGTGCTCCAACCTTATAAACCTCAAAGGTTCAGTGCAGTGCATACAGTCCTGCTTCAGCAAGGAGCAGTAACACTGTTTATGGGGAAAGTAAGTTATGCTTCTGTCTTGGTTTTGGCTGGGATACAGTTAATTTTCTTCCTACTAGCTGGTATAGTGTTTTGGTTTGGATTTAGTATGAGAATAATGTTGATAATGCTCAGATGGTTTTAGTTGTTGCTAAGTAGTGTTTATACTAAATAAAGGCTTTTTCAGCTTCTCATGGCCTGCCAGCAATAAGGCTGGAGGGACACAGGAATTTGGGAGGGGACACATGCATCACTTGTCTTCCTTGGGGTTTATTTGACTTTTTTGTTATCTTCCTTTCCATTACTATTATTATTATATTGTTGTTATTATTATATTTTAATTATTAAACTCTTCTTATCTCAACTCAGGAGTTTTACTTGGTTGTGACTCTCCTGCTATCCCACCAGGTTGTGGGGGAGGAGCGAGTGAGCAGCTGCGTGGTGCTTAGTTGCTGGCTGGGGTTAAACCATGACAGCTTCTCTTTTCATTAGAAAAACAAATACCAGTTCCTTTTTTCTAGATGCAGGTAGAACTACACTTTTTGATTTTTCCAAAAGCACACTTAGAGTCATATGTCTTCTTCATAAAAATAATTAGTAATATGTTTTGAGTCTGTGGTACCACGTGGAATAAAAATGCACAAGTTGTACAGTTTTAACCACTGTAACCACTTTTAAGATTAAAAATTAAATATGTATTACGTGACACTTACAGTCAGTAGTCACTTGAATTAAGTCATTAATATATCCCTCAGCATTTTCTTGTCCTGGTTCCTAGGTGGGACTGCTGGTTACTGTATTAGTACTACATAAAAATAATAATAATCACAGTAACCCAAGGTTTATCTAGGTTACTGTTCTGGTTCTGAGAGATTAAAAATCCAACTGCAGGAACTTAAGGAATACTTTACCCTTTTCCTTTCTCTTCAAGTCATACATATGCCAGTGATAGAAGGATAGTTATGTTCATTTTACATGTAAAATTAAGGAAATGTGTTTTGGATGTTAGTGTCTAGGTATGTGTCCAAGAACAGGGAATAAGCAAAACTTTACAAATTTTCCTGTTTGAATATTAATTTTAAATGCAAGTATTTGTGTGTGTGTGATTTTATTTTGGAAACAAATAACGTGGAGAAACATGTTACTTTGGAAACAAGCTGGAGGAGATTAGTAGAATAACATATTCCACCACTTTTTTTTTAATTGTTCTTTGATACAGTGCTCTACTGAATGTGGCAGTGGAACTCAACAGAGAGAAGTCATTTGTGTTAGGAAAACTGAAGGTAATTTTGATGTTTTGAACCCCTATGAATGTTCATATTTGGAAAAACCTCCAAGCCAGCAATCCTGCTACCTCAAACCCTGTGGATCTAAGTGGTTTCATACAGAATGGAGCACAGTAAGTCTATCATACTTTCCTGTATCTAGTTTTGTTTGATACATCTTTTTCTATGTATATTGAAAGGGAACACCATTTGGATAAAACCATTGATTATGAAATTGATTTAATCTTGCACAGGAATGATACTGAAAAGAAGGCATACTCTTTAGTACCCACTGGAGTTTAGAAAGGTTAGGAAGTATCCTGACCAGAAGGAGACACTTCATAGTTGTCTTTTCATCATTGCTCTCTTCTTCCAAGAATCTTCCTGTCTCATAAAGTTGGTTCACCGCTTCACTGAGATTATGTAGTGCTCTGAGAAGTTCTTTTCAGACCTCTAGTTTCATTAAGGAGCATTTAATGAAGAATGAGAGATGTACTTGGTTTTTAAGGTTTTTATCATAATATTTTACTGTAAACTTCCCTGTAATACTTACAACATTACTGAGAGAAAACTTACTGTAGTGCTTTTCGTATCTTCTGTTTCCCCAGGAAGTGGACCAGCTACATTCACGAGTGCCACAAAACACTTTGGTTTAATCTATCTTTCCATAATTTCCTACACCTGAAAAATCCAAGCATTGGATTTTTTACAGAAAATGAACATCTTTCTCCTAAATAAAATCAGAAAGTCCATTTTGTCTTAGAATGAAAAGTGGTGTAAAAACTACTTAGATGATGTCATATCTAATCCAGTAATTTACACCCTTCCTTGAGCCTTAAATCACATTCCGAACGACAGCTTCAGATTGGTGTCTTCAATTGGAATTCCCTTAGTCAGCAACCTTTGGAAATAACTCATCCACATCACCTGAGACAGAGAAATTATTTTGGTTTTCCTTTGTACTAAATGCTCAATTATTTCACTGGCCTACTGGCAACACTAAAAAGCAGAAAATAAGGTAAAGTGGCTTTAATAAAATAAATCAGCTGAAGGGAATCCTGATTTTTCTTCCTTAATTGCAGATTTAGATATTTATTTGAAAACAACATCCAAGTTAGGCTCATAATAAAACCATGTAGATTGGAGCATGTTATTTGGTGTTTCTGGAAGTTCTTTGGATTCTTTATTAAGCTGTTAGTTTAGATGAAATAACTTCCCCTTAGAAACCCATTTTCAAATGTGAACTTGCAGGTGTGTAGCCATGAAAGATATAGCCATCTGCATCCATAGAATGCAGCAGATAGATTCCTTCTTAAGGTAAAAACATACACTCTCTTTGACAGATACAGAAGAAATAAGGTGCTAGAACTCAGAATCTGATAGGTATTTAGAGATCCCTAGTTACTGTTCCTGAGCAGTGGTGTCTAAAATCCTTAAAGGTCTATGCCCTTGTGACCGTCTTCACTGTAGGAACAAATACATATGCTAGATGAGGTTTTACAGTATCACATTCTAAGTGTTTTTCTGATATCTCCTTCTGATATTGTTACTGTTATCAACAGAGTACATGGCATTTCTTAGTGTTAGACTTGAAGAGAAAGGATTATGGGGTTATCCATGAGCGGAATAGCTGGTTCAAAGCCCCTGTACTAGGTTTTGAAACTGTCCGGTTCATATGCTCAGCAGAATTTTTATAAGACCTCAAATAAATGGCATGGCCTCTCAGCCATGGAGGTTAAATGCCTGGCTAATGCAGAATCCTGGGGTTTGTGTATAGTGTATTGTATGTAACATCTAAATTCTGTCTTGCTTCCATTTTAAGTGCTTAAGATCTCTACAAACCTTCAGTGAGGTTCTTACTGCTGGATGTGGGATAATTACAATATTCTATACAAGCATATAATGAGTAATTATATGAAAAACTGCAAGTGTTCTATTACTCTTGCCAAAGGGTTATGTCTTTTCTAAAGTGGGTAAAAGTTGTACTTACAGATGAAAGAGCAATTTAAGAACACATTATTGAAAATATTTTGGTTAGTTTGCTACAATATCTGATTTTATGATAGTGATAAGTTGGTTTTGCAATGTTAAGAAAAGAAATAAGTATGCCAAAAAAGTCAGAAATAAAGCATTCTTACTAGTTTGGGGCTATTAAGGTTTTAATTGACCCAGGTTTAATTAAGTTTGTGAGCATTTAGGACAAACTGGACAGTGAGCCAAATCTCAAAGACCTCACTCAAGCAAAATTCTTGAAGTCAACAGGGGATTTGCTTCAGTATGGGCAGAAATGTGTAATAATTGGCTTTAAAAATACCATGACAAGCAATTACAAAAGTGTCTGGCTTCATAGCAGACTTTGAAGGAGCACAAAAATATTTTCTTTAGAAATTCCAAGAAGCCTATAATGCTTAGTAAAATTGTTGTGCTGCAAGAAGTGAAAAATAATTGAGTGACAGAAAAAAAAGCAATTAAAATTATTCCTGATTGTAGATAAATGGAGGCAAAATGACAGTGCTGTCAAGTAGTAAAGTTCAGTGCAGGAAGTTCTTGAAGTAAGAAATAAACACTGTGGAAAGAGTAGATTTGGGAGATACGTATAAATAACCAGAGAAGAACAAAACTAATTAGAGAAGCAAGAAGTAAACTAATAAATTCAGAAAGGGAAATATTCTAGAGTGCTTTCAGTTGCACAGTGTCTACTATGGTTACTTGTCTAGTTGTTGGCCCTATGGTCAGAAATGATTTTGAACCTTTAACAAAATTGCACCTGTTTGTTAAGGACTTTATACTTAAAAAAACAACAGAAGTGGTGAAGTTGATAAAAGGCTCCAGTGACACCCGGGCCCGTCTTCAAGGTTCCCCAGTTTTCTTTCTGTATCTGCACATCTCATATGGTCTTCATGAACGTCAGCTTTTGTGTTTCAGTGTTCCAAATCCTGTGAAGGAGGATTTCGGGTTCGAGAGGTACGATGTCTATCAGATGACATGATAGCCAGTACTCAGTGTGATCCACAGCTTAAACCTGAAGAAAAAGAACCATGTAACACACAAGATTGTATCCCTGAAATAGGTAAGGAAGAGGAAGCTTCTGTTTTAAATATAGAACACCATCTAGTGGAGAAAATATTTAATAATCTTGCAGAGGTTGTAGGATATATTTTCTTTATCAAGTTCAGAGTTTTATTTTTACACAAAATACAGTTAACAGGTAAGAAACTGGCTTATTTCAAAGTTGCTGAGAATGTGTGAAATCTGCTTCTGTGAAAGTCATACATATAGGGTGGTTTTATGCAGCTTCCTTGCATTCTCAAAGTTTTTCTCTTGGCACAGTGTTTAAAACAAAAAAAATATCGTGTGTGATATACTGTATTTGGTAACAGGTTCTATAAGAACCAATAACATTAAACTAAGACATTAAGGGCAATTAAGCAATTTTCTTTTATATATAGTAAATATACACATACACATAATTTGACATTGGAATTAGTCATTCATCTCATACAGATTTGCTTTTAGTAGTAATGAGGATGCCTATGGAAAGGAAGATGCATGTGTTTAGAAACAATTTTAACTTACATTCTACAATTTTCAGTTGAGAATTATTCTTCAACATAATTTAAGATAATTTTATGAAAAAGTACACCAATATTATTTAAAAAAAATTATTGTATTCGTGTTGTTATTTTAAACAAGTTTGTAGAGAATTGCTCATTTTTATATCTGTTATTAGTGTTTTGTCATTCAGTCATTTTCTTAACACTTAAGGTTCTGTGATCACATACGTGATCATATGGAAATCTTAGTTGTCACTTATAATGTATTTCTAACCGTACCGGTTGTAAAGGAAAACTTCACGATGTGAACAGACCATATCCTAACAGCTTAGAAAAAGGGAGAAGGATAAGAACACTAACTTTTATCTTTTTTAATCTGGTTATTTTAAATAATTTGTAATATTTGTAAGGAGGGAGATGGTTTACTATTTTCCAGTATTTAGATTCATCAGTACTTGAAAATAACATTTGCAGGTTCTGGTGCCGTTTGCATGCACAAATTTTGTGTTTAAAAAAAACCAGCAACAAAACCCCAGCAGAAAAACCACAGTATAAATGGGGATAGGTAGATTTCTTCCACAGTTTTATGTGTCTCTATATTAAATGTAGAAAATCTTGAGTAATCTATCATTATTTGCATAGGTAGCCTATTTTAACCTGATAATGAACATTTAAATACAGGTCCAATGGATTTTACATGGTAAAAAGAAAGGGGGTTGGTTATTTGTTGCTCTAATGCTGTTTTCTTCAGTTTCTTCTCTCTTCCTATTTCTCCACAGATGAGAACTGCAAAGATAAATACTACAATTGCAACGTGGTGGTTCAGGCCCGGCTCTGTGTCTACACCTATTACAAAACAGCCTGTTGTGCATCTTGTACACGTGTGGCAAACAGACAATCAGGGTTTCTAGGACGTAGATAACAAATACTCTTCTACACAAAGCGGCAATGTCAGTCTTCAGATGGAGCTTGAACAGTGTTACTGTTTTGACTACAGCAGGTTTTAGCTTCTTAGAGATGGTTTTTTATATTGCTGAGTACGTCAAGACTATGGTTAAATCTTGCACCCTTTCAGTTACAGTTATTGTGCAGTTATCTTTTTTAAAATGTTTGTTTTGTAAAACCATGATCTTTTTAAAGCATTAATTTTTAATGAGACTATTATTTGCACCTGCTCATCAGATAATTATTTAAAGAATATAGCAGCCTTAGTATTGTGAAATTAAACTAAATCAATCACAGGCAATTACTGGAGATATTTGACCAGTATGGATGCAGCTGCTGCATTACTTCCTGGGTGCTTACTTCTACTTGGTATTTTGGAATGCTTTAAATTAGATGACTAAATCAATGAAACATACACATGAGAAAAATTACTTCACAAAGAACCAGACCCTTGAAGACCCATTTATCATCAGTTTCTTAGCACTCTTAACATATATTTTTAATTACTTCTGTCCGTTCATAATAAATTAGAGTCACTGTTAAGCTCTCTCAATTATAATTTTAACTAACTTCCTGTCCTCAGGCAGCAAATATATATACACTTGACTGCCAAAAAGTGCCTTTATATTTAATTCATAAACTCTTGAAGTTACACTTTTCTAATTTTGTATGGATTTTAAAATACATTACCTACCAGAGTGCCACTAGTGTCTAGCCCTTTAAGTCTTTAACAACTGCAGCTGTCAGTGAGACAGATTTACCAGGAAGGTGAAGAGCCTTTGCTGGTATAAAAAAAGTGATTGTTTCCATTGGCAAGGTCTCTTTCCTGGAGGGCAGTTATTTCAGTGAACTGATACCTTGTCACTGCACTATTGCTTAACAACTACCATACCAAAGTACTCTGTCCAGACTTACTCTGGATATGTCACCAGTTTCTGGAACAACCACCAAAGGATGCAGCCTTTGCGCTTTATAGTAGTCTGTTACTCTTGGTATCAGGCAGCAGTGTGAGTGTAGTAGCCGAGTATTTATAAAAAGGTCTTTGCTATTGACATTCTTCAGATTTTGATCAGTTATTACAACATACTTGACTTTTACTAGTCAATGTTTCATCCTGCAGGTCTATTCACATCATTCCTTTTCTACTACTCAAGAATGGCTCCAAACTTGGAGCTGAATTTAGGTGGTGATTTCTCATTTCTGCAATTACTGTGCACGGCCTTGGGACTTGCTAAAAGCAAATAGAATGTGGTATGCAGTGCAGATTAAAGTGTTTGCATTATCTGCACATTCTTTAGCCTTTACCTGATGGGACTTTCAAACATGTAAATAAGGCTGAGGGAGAAAATAAACACCTTTACTTATTCAGCTGTTTATTACAGCATACTCCTTGTAAATTAGTGATACCCAACTATGCATCTATTACTAAGGTGTCTGTTGTCTGAGTTGAAAACCAATTTTAATAATCTGTGTTAAATCACTCCCAATGATGTGATAAAAATGTGATTAAGGTATCCTGCTACTGATGAAGAGCCACATTGTGTAGTCTTTTCTTCTTACGGCTTCGATGAAGAGGGTGTAGAAGAGAGACTGGGGCACTAGGAGGCAAAAGTTGCTGGGTGTAGTGCTAGCCACATCAGTCCGTGTGCTGGAAGCCACAGGAAGGTAGAACTCCTGTAGTCTAAAAGCTGTGTGGGATTGAGACAAACCTTAAATTTTTTGATTCAGTCACTTGCGAAAAATATAGTTCAGACATGATGAACTACTACTGTTTGGCTAAGTGAAATGAAGAAGTGTTTTCCCTAAAATTTGTAGTTACTATTTGTGACTATAAAACAGTAATACTGACTTTTTGCTGTAATTAATTGATGTAAAGCTGTTAGAAACAGAAACGCTTATTAGAAAACGTTTCATTTGAGTTCGTGAATCGTTCACAGTCCTATTCCCTTGTATGAAGATTTATCCAGGAAGATAACTTACAGATTTTTGATCATACTATATTTCTTAGATTCTTGACCAAAGAATGATATGGAAAAAGTGCAGCATAAACAACTCTGGAATCCAGTATTTGTAAATAGAGGTTTTCATCTGGATTATCTCGTGGCAGCAAATCTTGACATACAGTATATAATTTTTGCTGTTGTCGCTTTTGTCCCAAGGAGGTGTATCCTTGTGGGAAATACCTGTTCCATAAAAAGGCTTTCTGAAAACCACAAGACAAATGAAATGCAGGAGGTAATCAGGTTTGCAGTCAGTTCATAAAAAATAATCTGCTTTGCACACTTTTGGCCATGAGACAGTGACGGTGCATAGGTGATTCTGGTGTTTTATATAATATGTTATTTTACTCTGAAATATATAGCCATTGGGTTATTTTACAAAGGTGATCATCTTGAGGGCTCCATTAAGCTGCCACTGAAGTAAACAGAGTTCATAGGAGCTAAATATCAAAGAATATATGCATACACATTGCAGTATAACCCTGTATTACACCTAAGATACACAGCTTTGTGAATTGAATGCAGAGGGTTATGGTCATACAAACTGTACTTTTTTAGTGAAGGGACAGTCTTCAGATATACCAGATAAAACAGAAAAGATTGTTTCATCTAATTAAACATCTAATGATAAGGAAATTGTCAGAATGTTGCTGAGCTTAATCGTTTATCATCTCTTCTCACATGTCAGCATAATCAAAATAGTTGTTCCTGCAAAATGAACTAATGAACTCATTTTCAGCACTTTGATGTACACACAAAGTGCTACACTAGGATTTCACCATCACATCAAGTGCACTTTTGAAATTGTGACTGTAGCAAGTGTTTGTTTTAATACAGCAGTGCATCAATTTAAGAAAATACCTGCAGAGGGCCTGATTTTCCTTTCACTGTAAATCAGAGGTGGCCTTAATGAATGCAGTAGACTTAGAGCAGGTGTAAAACCAATATAAGTAAGAAATGATGCAGGCTTCTGAGTTTGAATGCTTTAATTTCTTTTTCTGATATTTTAACATCAGTCAAAATCCTGCAGAATGGTGGGGAAAAAAATGCTTCCTTGCCTTAAAGATTTTCACCTTATACAATCCAGTAAGACCAGAGTAAGTGTAGGAGGACTGCTGTAGATCGTTGATTGGTCTGAGCAGTCTAATTGCTTATAGGGCTAAAATCAGCATACAGCTTTTATGCCTTGCACATAGGCATCTGGCCAAAATCTGTTCCATCCAGAGCAGACTCTGTGTCTCAAAGCACTTTTCTTCTGGAATTGAGGGCTGCTGTTGCAGTTGTTTATCAAGTTATCAAGGGTCCATCAGGGCTTGCTAGCTCCTGTGCAATGTCAGATCCAAGCATACGTAGGTTGAATTGCTTGTATATAGCAACTACATGCCAAGTTTGAGAGCACTTATTAGCAGTACTGAATCCATGGAGCTCTCCCTCTCACTAGCTGAGGAAGATGTGGTGGAAGCATGAGGGTTGCTTCTGTGGGAGCAACCCTGGGTCTGACTTGGCCAGCAGTGAGACAGAGTTAGTATTTGCTTTAGTGTCTCTGACCTTCAGTCCTGAGGGCTCTGATTTAGGAAAGAACTTGTTAGCAGGCAGTCGAATGCTGGGGAGCGCAGTGCAGGAGACATGGGTGTTCCTGCCAGCCTGCGAGCTGTGAAGTCCAGATGTAGTGTGCACCCACCGGCTCGATGCAGGACTACCTCAGTATCCCTGCACAGGGAACTAGTGTCTTCCTCATTACATGCATAATTGATTTTCTTTTTTTTTTTTTTTCAATACTTAGGAAAATGGAGAGCTTTATGTATGAAGAAAGCAGTGTTTAATGTTGTTGGTTAGATCCCACTTTTATGACAATATGCTGCAGCTCAGTTTGGTCCTTTTATACAGAAAAAACCCCAATGTGTTGCAGAGCATGTTAAGTTAATGACATATTAATGCAAAGACAGATTTTAGGTTGCTTGTTCGTAGACTTGATGAAAGTGATCAGTATAGCCCTGACTCAAGTGAGTACATGAGAACTGTAGAACAGAAGACCGCATGAGGCAACAGTATTGCCGAGACCTTGCTACTCACTTTGCTTATGTCTGGGTCCTAGAAGACAACAGTGGTCACCACTGAGGGAGGAAGGAGGTAGGTGCTGGAAACAGTTTATGGCTAGTAAAGGGGAGGTTATGCCTTCCTGAAAGAAACACTTTGCTTCCACTGTTTATAATCAATACCACCGTAAGTAGTAAAATGTGCTTGCAAGGGCTTTGCTTCTCCCTTTTACACCCACAGGTGTTCTCCTCTTCCTCTTGTCTCACCTCCATCCCTTTGTCCTTTGGATGACAGTATTCAGTTTTGCTAGAATTACTGAAAATCCTGAACTGGCTGTTTGGTTGATTAAGAATCTGAGTTAGAAATAAGCCCAGGTATTGAGAGCTATATTCCTGCCAGTCAAGTGATTTTTTTTGTGTGTGTGGATGTCCATGTTGGCTAGATTCGAATGCATGGTATTAAAGTACGTACTGAATTCATTCTGTGCAACGAACCTGTGATTGCACAGCTACTGAAATAGCTTAAGTTTGAGTAATCGTTGGCCTTCCAGAGACAGTCTGTTATTGCTGCTTGCCCTGAACTGTTTTGTCCATGCTGTGTTTGTGTCTCTTGAGACCGGTAGCCTTGGCACAGGTTGGGTACATACGAGCTTGTGAAGTCCCATCATAGTCACTCAGGATCTGCATAGAGGATCAGGAAGGACTGGAGACAAAAGAAACCCTAACTTTTTTAATATGTATAAAATTGTCTACTTGACCCTCATAATTGATTTTGGCAGAAGGATATACTTTATTATAACTTATTTTGTTGTTATTTGTAAATACAAGATGTCTATGGGAAATATGTAATTCTGAGCTGTGTCTATGGAACAAGCCACTGCACCAAAATATTTCAAATATTTAGAATAGGCAGATTTTCAGATTTTTTATTAAAAGGGACCTAATATGTATTTATTTACATATACCATTCAAATTTTGTCCAGCTCTTTCATTATACTAACCCAGCTTTTTAGGGAATTTTATAGCACAGGTATTACATATATATTTTTATATATATATGTCATACTGTAAATCCATAACACAATTTTCTAAACTTTCTGATTAGCCAGTTCCTTGAGTGAATTAAAGGGGGAGAGTGTAGGCAAATTGCTTTCTGACTCGTTCAGGAATATGTATCCATGACAATGCACCTGAACCAGAACTGTACAGCATCCTTTTCATATTGTATACATTTTCTCTTTGATGAAAAAATGTTAACTATTTTTGTTTATGACTAATTTATTTTTTATTATTGTGAAAAATAAAGTTATTCAAGATGAATTTGTGTGAATGATTTATTTATTATTTGGTTGATTTGTTCTTCCAGAGTTTCTTGAGAATTAAGTACAAGTATCAACAAGGGGTATGAACGCACTAAGGGAATCCTTACTCACATTTAGGAGTGGGCAAAATATAATCACGTTGCAAAAGGCTGCATAATATGTTAGAGCCTTGGAAGCGATAGCAACATCCCGATGGACTGCCCCAAAGAGAATCATTCATTGCAGAGGGCAAAAGTGGCCATTTTCTGGTGGTCTGTCAGGGCCTGCTAATTTCCAATGCAGGTTTGCTCCTGGTATATTCTCGACTTGATTGTCAATTTGCAGGACTAAGGCTCCGGCACTTCGCGGTCAGACTCAGGCAAGGCAGTGGTTTGTATTTTCAGGAGGTGGGAGCTGGAGCCCCTGGAGCAGCAGTGCCTGCCGTGCCGTGGGTGAGCTGGCACTGCGGGTTCTGGAGCCTTGCAGTTCCTTGTTTGTAATTGCAGTTAGTGCTTTACCAGTGAAAAATTTGTAATGTAACAGCAAAATAGTCTAAGCTTGGATAAAGCTGAAGTGTGTTTATAGCATGAAATGGTGTCTTACCCTGTGGAACAAGTATCCTGGGTGCAGTCTCCAGGTAGAATTTCTCTTTGTAGCTGATGACGGATCATACTTTATTTTTTTTTCCCCCACTCTAGCACAACCAGACCAGCACTACAGGCAGCTAATTCCAAATTTCATTAAAATACCACTATAAATTGGTGAAATCCAAGGGAGAAAAACAGTATGTAAACCTTTTACGGAGATAAATGTTACTTGACCTTTCATCTTTGCTGCTATGAGAAATTCTGCACAGTTCAAGAAAAGCGGAAGCTCCCGGTATTTCGAGTGTCACATTTTGTTATCCCAAACTCCCACCTCGGTGCGCACGGAGCAGATGGCGCTCAGCGGCTGCGGACGCTCTGCACCTGCGCGGGGCCGCCGCCTCGTGCCCTGCGCGCTGCCTCAGGGGCCCAGGTGGTCCTGCCCGCCCCCTCCGCGGCCGCGGTGATGCGCGCAGCCGGGACATGGGCCCGCGCACTGTGCGCGGCTTGAGGGTGCTGCTGGCGGCCCCGCAGAACGGTTCCCTCTGAGTCCTGCAGCTGCCCACATCTGCAAGTGCTTAATAGACCGTTGGGGGGTTTTAAAAAAATTAGAACTGGAATTACTAAGACATAAAATTATCGTAAGTTCATTGTGCTTCTCCCATGTGTTATTTATGTTTAAAATAAATTTTCAGCGCAAAATAAGGAGTCCTGTAATAGAGGCAGCCCTGTTTTTCCCCTCGTCTTTGTTCAGAAGTGGGGTGGTCACGATACACGTGGTGGTTTGTCAGAGCCTTCAAGCCTGAGTAGCACGACAATGATTTGTCCTGCCAGATGCTTCCTGTTTCAGGCCACAGGGTGGGTTTACGCCTTCCCATGATTTGTGCAGAGTGGACCTGTCTATAAAGGTAAATACAGAGCCTGGGGCCAAGGTAACACCAGCTGCCTGCAACCCGGTGCTGATTAATTGTCGAGTTCAAAACACGTATTTAATGCCTTACTCCACACCCTATTTGCATATTAAACCTCATCAGTTCAGATATGCAAGCAGTCTTATGTAGCTATAGCTAGCCACGTAGCCTTAAAATGAAATGGAAACCATTATGGAGAGTTTATTTATGAGGTAAATCAAATAATTGCCTTTTAAAAAACCCAAAACCTTAATTTTGGCTCTCCACAGATGCCAGTTCCAGTGAGGAACAACTACAGAAAAGTCAGTGCTGTTTTCATGTCCTGTTTTGTAATATAGCTATGCTGATCTGAGTGTTAAGAATCAGATGCCTTCTTTGATTTGGTTGGTTTTGGTGGGGGTGCTTTGAGGTTTATACAGAGAGAGAGAGAATGTAGCATCACACCTACCCACAACAAGGTGTGAAGCTCTTATTCAGAATAGTTGAGGTTGGAAGGCAGCTCTGGAGACCACATACTTCAACTGCTGTGCTCAAAGCAGGGTCCAGGGCTGTGCCCCGTCAGGTTTTGAGTATCATCCAAAGGTATTATCATACTTTTCAGATGGAATTTCCTGTTTGTTGTTCAGTTTGTGACCATTGCCTCTTGTCCTGTCACAACGCACCCCTGAGAAGAGCCTGACTTCGTCATCTTCAGTCCTTCCATCAGGTATTTATACACATTGATAAGATTCTCCAGATTGAACAGTCCTGGCAATCTTGACCTCTCATTATCCAGTCCTTTAATCAGCTTTGTGACCCTTCACTGGACTCCCTCTACTAAGTCTCTCTGTCTTGTACTCTGATAGATCGTTGTACTTAATTAATCCTGATGATTTATGCCTTAATATTCTAAGTGAGCCAACTGGGAACTCTGCACACAAGATTCTCTTCTCAGTAAAGACAATATAATCCAGCTAGTGGGGAGCTGCACTTATTTTTGTGGTGTACCTAGGACAAGAGTAAGTGATGAAAAAGCATCCAGAATGTAGGCAGTAAATATATAAAAGATGTCCTTAAAACATGTACTTAACAGCCTGCTAAATAAGTGCTGAAATCCTTCAGCTTTTTTTAGTATCCTTTTTTTTTTTAATTTCACTGACTGATTACGTGTTTCTTATTATACGTGGCCATATGCTAGCAGTCAAGGCTTTCGTTACAGATAACGAGATACACAAAAATAATAATAATAATAATAATAATAATAATAGTTTTGATTTTAAACTTCCCAGAGGCCTTGTTAAAAACACATAGGTACCTTGTTTATGCTGGTTAAATCTCTCATTTAACTGAATTGCTGTTCATGAACTATTACACATTACCATATTGCAAAAATACAATTCATTGCAATTATATGTTAAAAAGATCTTTTTTAGTAGATGAGTGCTCAGAAGATTGAAGTGGATCTTAGGTTTTCTCTATGTCAAGACACAAAATGAGAATTTTTATGTAAAGGTCTCAGATTTGACCTGCTCTAGGAGTTGCACCCATACTGAAATGCCACTTCTCTTTGTTCTGAGCTTCTGTTTTCTGGTTTCCAAGGTGCATTCTCCTTCACTGTATGGGCAGTCATTCTTTTCCTGAGCAGTAGTTTAGATGCAAATGAATAGTTCTAATACATTCCAGGAAGATGTCTCCTTTTGAATCCTGCTACTAGATTTGCTACTTGTAGAAGAGAAGGGAAATTGCATCCTTGGTGTGCTGGTTTTGAAAATTCTTCCGTGCCTACTAGCGTTAGTGTGAAAAGCTGTGAGAGACTTTTATCGGGGGCGGGTTGCTACTGGCGTCTGTGGGAGTTAACACCTGCAGACCTAAGCACTGAACTTGTCTCTAATAGAGCTTATTTTTCCACATACTTCAAATAAAGTCAAGAACACTTCTATATTTAACTAACTCAGATCGTGCATATGCTAGATTGGTAAGGAAAGTATGACCTAGGTAAAATTGTATGAGACCTTTAAGTTTGTTTCAACTGGCAGAAGAAAACCAGGCCCTTTGACTCCAGTGGTTCTAAACAGCAAGGATTTTTTCCTTACCAGTGATGTGGAGGCATGCCCAGATTAAGTCTGGATGATGTTAATGCTCCTTATCAAGAACAAATTACTGTTCAGTAGAGCTTTTTCTCTCCAGGTTTTTTCCATATGTAATTTTTGAAGGAGGGGAGAAAAATGCTATACTACAACCCCTTATTATTGTTATCTTTTACTAGAAATCTATTGATTTTTTTAGAAATTCCTGGATTTCTAAAAAGTTAATGACTGATATGGTACAACAGTAAGTGAAAAGCAGTAAGTGTAGATAATCTTGGAACTTGATCAGTGCTTCCAGTCAGAGACTTCCACTGCTGAATGTGTGCCAACAGGTGCTTTTCACTCTGCAGACTTTTTAACTGGTCGGGGACAAATGTTGTGTCCTTACTGAAGCAGGGTGGATTCAAAGCATAATGGCTGAGAGTCTGGAGTGTTGGTTACTGTTGATGGTCTTCAGAAAGTTGAAAGGAAGTGCTCCATAGATTCTTTCTGTGAACTGTGAAGAATGTTAAGATTGGAATGTCAGTTGTGTTGTCTTCAACCAGGTAACTTCTATGGTTAAATTGCCTGAGATTTGATTGCAATCTTGAGATCCAAAGCAGAAATTTTTGGTATAGAGTTGGAGCAGTTACTGAGAGGAGGAGAGGAAATAATGCACATAAATGTCTGGCACAGCTTTGGGGACTGTAGATAATTTCTGTTGACCTTTCCTTTGTTGCCCTAGACTGTTATTCTTTTGTTCTCTGTTACTCATTTTTGGTTGGGATATATTGAAAGAAAAGTGAATATTTGAAAAAGGAAGGCTGACATTCAAAAGAGGAAAAATCCAAGAGGGTACATTGGGAAATAAAAATAAATTTACTCTAATATTAAAATAACTTTCATACTGAATTCCTACCTACTCATTGTGTGACTTTGAGTAAGGCATAGAGAAGTAAATATTTAAAGTGCACATAATATGAATTTAATGTAACGCACCTGCACTGAAATTGCAATTACTAGGACATATGTATGCAGATGAATCAGAGAAGCATACCAGTAATTATCAGGAAGATCACTTCGTGTGCTTTCAATTTAATTGGTGACCAGCAACTGTAAAATCATTAGTCACTTGGCACCAGACTGTGTAGTGGTTTAACCCCAGTTGGCAACTAAACAACACACAGCCACTCACTCCTCCCTGCAGTGGGATGGGGAGGGGAATCAGAAGGGTAAAAGTGAGAAAACTCATGGCTTGAGATAAAGACAGTTTAATAGATAAAGCAAAAGCCATGCATGCAAGGAATTCATTCAGCACGTCCATCAGCAGGCAGGTGTTCAGTCACCTCCAGGAAAACAGGGCTCCATCACACGTATCGGTTACTTGGGAAGACAAACACCATCACTCTGAACATCCCCCCCTTCCTCCCCCTTCCTCCAGCTCTATATGCTGAGCATGACACCATATGGTAT